TCCTTAGTATATATCCCATTTCTACAGTTAATTTTAATCAAACATTTGTATCCCATTATTAACAGTACTCAATTCCTTCCTTTTTTTTCTTTTTCTCCAATGCTATATATTCAACTAAAGCCATCATGGCTTCTTTGCATATCCAGGCCGCCGCATCCACTAAGCAAAGTCAAAAAAACAACTTTTTATTATCTTCGTTGATATAAGATATGCATATATATGGCTGAAATTACAGCAGAAAAGCATGAAAAAAGAAGGTATATATGCATATGCCCAGTTTTTTTTAAACCCCTTAAATTTGATAATTTAATTAAATACCCCTAAATATTTTTTTAAAATTATAAAAACACCCCAATAATCCACATTTACCAGATTCCGACCACCACCACCGGAAAATGGTCGAAATTTGTAGGATGGCGCACTACCAGCTGAATCTGGCCGGTAGTACACCGATCTAGCCTTTTCCGGCCAGATCCACGGTGGATCTAGCCGGAAAAGGCCAGATCTAAGGCCAAAGATCTGGCCGTTGACGACCAGATCTTTGGCACGACGGCCAACAAACGATCGTCGTTGACCATCAACGACGACCGTTTGTTGACCGTCGTTGAGAGCAAATACGGCCAAATCTGACTGTAGATCTGGCCTTTTCCGGCCAGATCCACCGTGGATCTGGCCAGAAAAGGCCATAGCGACACATGACCGACAAGATCCAACCGGTCATACGCCCATACGGCCACTCCGGCCACCTCCGGTGGTGGTCACCGACTGGGGGTGTTTGAGGGTGGGTTAAGGGTATTTTTGTTAACCTTTAATGTTTTATTATAGGGGGTATTTTATAAAAAAACAAACATAAAAAGTATTTCATTAATTTATAAATTCTACATCTTAATACCCGCCCAATTCAACTTTTTTTTAACTTTTTTCAAAAAACTTTTCTCAAAACCCCCAAATTTTGAACCAAACCAAGCACTAGTCACCCCTGGTTTCTTTCTCTACATCGCCTCTTCTCTACCTCGGCCACACCGCCGCTGCTTTCTCCCTCCATCTTCCACAACAAAACAAAAATCCATAAATCAATCTTACAATTACAATTAAATATTTTTCCGTATCAAATCTCCATCAATTCAGACTATCATCATATAATATGATTCCATATTGAGATTTCTAAATTATTGAAAACAAGAGTTATCTTATAGTTTAAAATTACAAATATTTTAATAAATTTCATTTTAAAGAAACATATTTTTCCATGCATACCGAGGATCAATTTGTTGTTCAAAAAACAATCTTGGCCTTGGGACGTCAAAGACATCTCAACAAACAAAAAAGAAGAAAGAAAACTGGACAGTATAATGGCTTCCCCAAAATAAATTAATAGAAAAAAAAAAATCATTCAAAGTTTAAATAGCGGAAAAATCCTAAAACACAGGAATTTGATGGAATTAACAAAAAAATATTTATGTGAAAGCCTCTTCTGTACCGATTCCATAACCCATAACCCAAGAAATGGATCCTCAGTCGCATTCACAGGTCCAAGACGTCCTACTTACAGTAAATGAAGTGGAACCTTATACGGCCGCTGAAAGAATTGAACAAATTCTTGAGCCTCTAGGCTATCACCGCGAAGCTGATGGAGTTGATGAAGCGATAAAAAGGTTCCTCCGGCATGACAACGACGTTACTACATTGCTGGAACTCGGTTTCCTATTTGAAAATCAGCTCCCCAACCCGGACTTTCCGGACATCCAGTTGGCTGACATAAAAAATCTGCTTGCCGAGGTAAACGACTTGCTTCTGATGCCCACCGGAATCAACGCTCTTTCTTATCTTGTTAGAAATATATTAAGAATCTTCAGGTTTCCGGTTCAAGTTACGATCGAAAGACTGAGAGCGGGTAATATCACGGTTGATGAAGCTCTTTCTGAACTAAATGGGCTTATTTAGTTGTTAAATTTTGGTGCAAATTTCGTAAGCTTTTCTTGATGTTGTTTGATTTGGTTTTCATGTGAACTGAATATTTTTTAGGCTTGTCGCATTTTATTTTACTTTGGTTTCTGGTTCTGGAGTATTTTAGGACGATGAGTTTTGAGACTGTTTTTTTTTTTACATTCTAGGATTTCTCTGCCTGTATAAATGAATGATAATTCTGAAACAGTTCACACAAATTTTGCATGGCTCTGCTGTTATCCTAGGTTCTCATACCGGATTACCGCTTATTGTTGTTGGATAAACTCCAATCATCATCAATAATTTATAAGTTCTAGTTTGATTATATTTTTGTAGAATATTCATGGATCTACAAAATATCATAACTTTTTTCCACGGAATCACTTTGACAAAGGTAGCCCCAACAAGCATTCCTTACACGTTCTCCATGCATGCCGTAATCTTGATTCCCTGCAAATACCTGAAATTACAAGTAGACACAGTTTCAGCAAGTTTGTGTTCTGGACACCCGTGCGTACAACACTGTTATTGATGGATTCTTCAAGTCAGGTAAGGTGAGCAAAGCTTACCAGCTGCTGGAAGGAAATGAAGACAAAGGTCACCACCCCACTGTTGATACCTATGGTTCTGTCCTTGACAGGCTTGATGAAGCTAATTACATGCTCTTCGAAGAGGCAAAATTTTTTATATATATATATATATATAGTAGTCTCATTGTCATTGATGGTTTCTGGTAATTTGGTAGAATTGATGAAGCATGTCTAATCATGGAAGAGCTGATGCAGAAAGGTTTGACACCTCATGTATACACATGGAATTGCTTGCTTGATGCCCTGGTAAAAGCAGAGGAAATCAATGAAGCCCTTGTCTGCTTTCAGTCCATGAAGGACTGGAAATGCACCCCCAACCATGTAAGGTTAGAAATGGTCCTTGCAAGGTTAGAAAATTCAACAAGGCCTTTGTGTTTTGGCAAGAGATGCAAAGCAAGGTTTAAAACCCAATACCAGTTTTGCATGGCTCCTGTGTTATTGACTTTTATTAAATCATTCATCGGTTTTAAATTTGTCTCAAATTTGGATTTGACCAATGCGGAAATTACATGTTCTGACAATTTTAATAGATTACCGCTTATTGTTGTTGGATAAACTCCAATCGTCATCATATAATTTATGAGGTCCAGTTTGATTATATTTTTGTAGAATAGTAATGTATATACAAAATATTATAATTTTTTTTTTCTTATATTACAATATTACTCAACCTTATTAATTGTCACTTGATACATAATATTTTGTATATAATTATAGCCCTTTGAGTTTTTAATTGAATAAAAAGATCCTTCTAAGATTTTTAATATAAATAAAATCCATCTATCATATATGTTGAAATATCAGTAAAAGAGTGATTATAATAAATAATTATAAATTTATGATAGTATAAGTTCTAACAACTTAACAACATTAAGAAAATTTGTCATTTTAAAAATTTAGAATTTTTTTTGTTAATGAACAAAATCTCAAGGTAGATGTCTTTTTTAACTCTAAATTAGGGTGCGTTTGTTTCAATATTTTTGTACTATCCTATCCCTATCTTACCCAAAATACATATTTTGTTTCTCTATTCTGAAAATCATATTATACTTTATAAATTTTTTAAACTCTCTAGGTTTGTTAATTTAACTAAATACCCTCAAAAAAAGTTTAGAAATTACCAACACCCTTACCCACCCACATTTGCAAGATTTCAACCACCACTATTGAAAGGTAGATAGTATAATGGCTTACTACCAGCTGAATCTGGCCGATAGTGTGCCGATCTAGCCTTTTCTAGTCAGATCTACGACCAAAGATCTTTGGCTGTAGCTAGTCGTCAACGATGGTCATATCTTTGGCCATCGTTGACGACCAAACGCAGCTAGATCTGATCATCAACGGTCAGATCTAACTGTAGATCTGGCATTTTCCGACTAGATCCACGATAGATCTGGCTGGAAAGGCCATATCAATGTACAACAGGCCAGATTCAGTCGGTCATGCACCGATACAGCAACTCAACCACCCTACGATGGCGGTGGCTGGCTATTGGTATTTAATGGGTATGTGTGAGTGTTTTTATTAATTTTCAATGTTTTATTACAGGGGTATTTTCTAAATTAACAAACCTACAGGGTGTTTTTCAATTTTTAAACTCTATGTCGTAATAACCACCCAACCCTTACTTTTCAAAAATCCTATCCAAAATAATAAAAACAAACACACCCATGAGAATGCCAAATCATAAAATCATTTAGAAAAAGAGTCTTTACAAAGTGCCATTTTTGTAAGGCCAAATTTCTTTTTTCCACCTGAGTTTTATTGAAAGTATTTGCCACCAATAAAAAACCATCAAATTCCACCCAACGTTAGTCTTCTTCTATTGATAATTTTCTTTGACCAGATTTGACCTGAAATACCCTTATTACCCTTATAAATCCTGATTAAATAAATTAATAAACTACATTAGAACCCCAAGTTAATAAAATTAACAAAATAACGATATATATTTTAAATTTTACGCCAACGCCATCTTCTTCACCACTTTCATTGTCACCCCACAATACACAAAATCAAAACTTTTCACCATCAATCATCTCCAAACACATAAAAACCAAAACTTCACCTAATCTTTCGTTTCCAAATGAATTTCCGCACCAGTGAAAGTGCCAGGACGAAGACATGCGTCAACCAAAGATACTTGGTTGACTCCAAGGAGAACCGAGTAGGATGAGTGCGTGATTCTTGGGAACCAACAAAGAAGACTTGACCCTCGTGCAGTAGCGGTCAAGATGATGATGCGCCTCCTGGAGGATGGTGTGAAAACTAGACGTTTTTAAAGTTGTTCGGTCGGAAAAATGAATAAGGATTACGTCCACTGATAATTTATTCGATTGTACGATAATGGGATCCCAGTGATCATGGAAAATCTTTGTTTTTTGGGAGAGTTTTCTGGACATGAAGCCTAGACCAGAGAAAGTTTGTTTTTGTTTGTTTTCTTTACTCTCTCTCCCACCCTCTCTCCTTGACCGTTGTTGCCTTTATAGAGAGAGAGGGCTTCAAAATGTCATGATGGTAAGTGCATCAGCCCCGGACACGCCCCCGTGCGGAGCTAACATCAGGCTCAGAAGCTCACATGCCCCTACGTCATAGCTAATGATGGTGTTTGCTCTAACAGCAACTGTCTTTGCAGGTCTCATAGAAGAAATCAGCAAATGGTTGTGCTACATTGTTCAATCAGCGATAATAAAGCTTTCTCAACGTCAGCTAACGGCTGTCCGGCATGAAGCTTAAGCTGCCTCTTCTTCACAACAACAATGTTCTTCATACCTGATTTAACTTCATCATAAAGTTCCTGCAAAAGTTGAAGTTCTCATTTAGTGAGTCCAATCCTAACAATACTCATGTAAGTCTACAAGAAGGTCTGAAGTTTAATTGAAATCAAGTTAGAATGCTTACTTTCACGGACAGAGGAACAATATCAGCACTAAAATCGCCTAGATCCTCAAAAAATGATTCGAGTAGACAACAAAAGTTATTAGCATCACCATGGTCCTCAAAAGCAGCTGTATATAAAATCTCACTCTGGTGTTGCACCTGAGAAGTGAGTCTTAATGTAAAAAGGCCTCCATTTTTAATTGTCTCCAAGATGGTAAACACTAGTATATCTCTCATATGTTGTTTATACGTGTTTTTTTTTTTTAGTCTCTAAAGATGAAGTAAATTGAACAATTCCAGAGGCTAGAAGAAATGAAGAGTTTGGGTCGGTTTCACTGGTTCAAATGTCAGCCGAATTGTTGAAGGACAGACTGCCTGAGGCGAGAGAAGCAGCAAGAAGTACTGTAATTTCCATGTGCGATGCATTTACTGAAAATGAAGAGCAGAAGCAGGAAGCATGGCAATGCTTTTGCCAATCTAGTTTGCCACCCATTGATGCTCAGTCCATGCTCAAAACTACAGCTTCACAATACAGTAAGGTTGGTGGTGGGCAGCTGCAGGAGTTCCGAAGTTTGTGTAAATCTTTCTGTCTCCATCATCATTGTGGTTAGAGCCTTAGAGGAGACGACGTTATGTTGTTGTCAATTTTCTACTTTTCGAGAAATGAGGGAAAATGCTAAAATAAATTATTAGATTCTTGAATGATTAATTTTACAAGTTGCTTCAATAATATCGATTAGTGGGAGGAGCAGCAGAAACTGCTGTAACATCCTGTTCTTACATCCAAAATCATTCTAAGAAATGAACTTCAGTTCATTTTGTTTTCAGCCAGGACATCAATTATGATTTCAGCAACATCAATAAAAGAATTGTAATTGTCAATTACAGTGGGCGAGACTGGAGAGTTTAGGCTATTTCTCCCAAATAAACCTAGACATTGTCTGCAAAATTGTGATTTCAGCCAGGACAACAACGTGCTAGCAAATAAATGTTCTCTTGTGTACACGGCACAAGCCATAGAAGAAATCAGTAAATGGTTGTGCTACCTTGTTCAATCAGCGAGAACAAAGCTTTCTCGACATCAGCTAATGGCTGTCCGGCATAAAGCTTAAGCTGCCTCTTCTTCACAACAACAATGTTCTTCATACCTGATTTAACTTCATCATGAAGTTCCTGCAAAAGTTGAAGTTCTCTTTTATTGAGTCCAATCCTAACAATACTCATTTAAGTCTACAACAACGTCTGAGGTTTAATTGAAATCAAGTTAGAATGCTTACTTTCACGGACAGAGGTACAATATCAGCACTAAAATCGCCTAGATCCTCAAAAAATGATTCGAGTAGACAACAAAAGTTATTAGCATCACCACGGTCCTCAAAAGCAACCGTATATGAAATCTCACTCTGGTGTTGCACCTGAGACGTGAGTCTTAATGTAAAAAGGCCTCCTGGACCTTCATGGTCCAAACCTCTACGCATGAGAATAGCCTGCAATTGAATAAATAACAGCATGATGCTTTAGAGTAATTGAAAGACACTTCTCCCAAACACAGAACAAACATTACAAAGTACACACAAAACAGCATCAGCAAACATCTATGGTTAGTATAGAACCTACATTAATATCTCCTGCTTGCCAATGAATGTTTGGTGCATATTCCAAGATCTAGACTCGGAATTATGAAAGGGTGCTTTTCATTACATTTTAAGGTAAACAAGATCGAGATGAAACATATCAGATGCAAAGTTTGTGAATTTAGAATGGAAAATGAGGACATTGTCATATTGAATGGCCAAAAGATACTCTAATATAGGCATAAAAGTCATCTTGTGGCAATCATCCATGAATTTATACTCGAGAAGATGATTAACACAGAACAAATATTACAAAGTACCACGGTTTGATTAGGCTTATGCACATATATAGAAAATGGCATGAATTTCAAACCTAAATGAAAACCAAGTCATGTATAACTGAGAAAGAATGGTTTATGCAACTGATAAAAAATATAGTGCCACAGTTTATGCAATCGATAAGAAATAAAAAATGCCACAAGGGAAGAGTTTACAAGTTTCAATAATATACCAAAACGTAAGGAAGCTTCAGCCACCACAAATCAGACTTGATATCTGATTGATCACCCCTGACTATGTTCGCTGCTGAACCATTTCCACCCCACCGAGAATCTTCATCAAATTTCATGGTAGTTTCCTGCTTTCCTTTTGTGAGGTTCTGCAACTTTAGTGCCTCTATATCTTTTGTTTCTCCAGACTTCATAACTTCAAACAAAGACCCTCTTTGACTCTTCTCCAGGTCAGTATCTAACAGATTAAAAAAAAAAAAGTTTATATATACAAATAAACAAAAGTACTATCAAATTATTATACTTCCCCTGTTTTCATTTTTGTTTTTTCCATGATCGTTCCTACCATAAATTCAGTAAACCAAATTCTCTTTTTGGTCATTCACAATGACTGAATAAAAAAAAAAAAAAAACCTTGATAATTAAGGTAACAAAGTTGCAGAGTTCACCAACATTAAGAAAACAGTACAGTGCTTTTACAAAATAGACTCTTAGGAACATTACCAAACCTCTTGTCAGTGTTCCCACTCCCATTTCCTTTTGCCTCTTCTCCAGGTTTTCCGCTTTATTTTGCAAGCCTTTTGACCCTCTATCTGATGCTTCAGTTCCATTCTTCTCTCCTTCCATTGTCCCCGAAATGCTTTCCCCTGAATCATGATTTGTACTTGCTATACCACTCTTCTTCTTCTTCTTTTTCTTATACGTTGAACTATCCTCCATACCTGAAAATCCCTTTGCATCACTTCTCAAACTCGTAGGACTCCTAAACTTAATTTTTTTCTTAAACATTAATGTCTCATTACTCTCATCCATCTCTTTTGCTTCTTCAACACCCTTAAACTCGTTCAAAATGTTCATATATGATCCGGGTGACTTCCCTTTTCTAGAATTCAACTTCTTCTCCAACTTAGACAATCGTGTGCCAATCTCTTTTTCAATGCCTGTTCTACTGTTAGAATTCACAAATTCATCAAAAATGTCACCTTTTTCGTTATCACCTCCCCGTGCCTTGTCTTCAATCTTTCGCACTTCTCTGGCCATTGCCCTAATTTCATTAATTTTATATTCTAACTCAGTTCCATCCAAATCAACCACGTTTTTATCCACCAAAAAGTTCCCTTTTTTAATTCTATTAATACCCCTATCGAAAGCATCCAAATTCTTGTTTTCCTCGTCGGAATTTGAATTTCCCCCAAAACAAACACTAAAAATTGTTTGTAACATCAAAACCCCAACTAAACCCATGCCAACTTTCAAAACAGACATTGCAGACAATTTACCTAAACTGCCACTGTAGTCTCCAGCAACACCCTCGGTCTCCGTGAACTCAATTTCCTCGACTTCATCAACGGCAGGGACAACTCCGACGAGTTCATCGAGTTGAGGCTCGGAAAAGGTGTCGTTTTGAGGCGGCAATACGATAGGGATTACGGGCTCTATTGGGAATGGTTTTGTTAGGTTTTGAGGATTTTGGGGCGCAAGTGATTTTTCCGCTTCGTGAGTTTTTTTGGAGGGCGTGGACTGGAGATGGAAGAAGAAAGGAGTGGTTTTAGTAATTTTGGGGTGGTGTTAGTATGTGATGTAAGAACGGAGAAGGCGGCGCAGTGCGCACCAGCCATTGCTGACGAAGGGAGGCGGCGCAGTGGTGCGCGGCCTTTTACTTCGGTTTTCCGGGTGGGGATTTTAGAGAAAGCTTTTACTCGTACTAACATACGCCGGCTGTGAACGTTGTGATTGGGGAAGATTACCAAGCCCATTAAGTTTATGGGCCAAAAGGCCCAACCCAAAACTAACCCATGGATGATCCAAGAATTTAGGGGTGTATACAAACTGAGCCGAGTATCTAAACACTCGAGCTCAGTTCGTGATGAACAATGTCAAGTTCGAGTTCGAGCTGATCTAAGAATTTAGGGGTGTATACAAGCCGAGCCGAGTATCTAAACACTCGAGCTTGGATCGTGATGAACATGTCAAGTTCGAGTTTGAGTTGAGCTCGCTCGAGTTTGAATACTAGGGCTGGAGCTCGAGCTTGCGAGTGTGGATGGATACTTGAGCTCGTGCTCGAGCTCTAGCTTTGAGTTTACTATAAGAAAGGGGCTATTTGTCATTTTAAAAACTTAAAAATTAAAAAAAAAGGTTACAAAACTTACAATTTGACCCTTTGAGTGCGATGAGGTTCATGAGCCTATCAAGTCGAGCTTCGTCTAAATCGAACTCAGCTTGACCCTTTAAATGAGCCACTCGAGCTCGAGCTCAAACTCAATTGACTTCAAATTGAGTTCAAGCTTTTCACGAGCCAAGCTCAAGTAGCCCATGATCTGCTCAATTCGCTTCTCATTCCTATCCAACATCAAGTTTTTCTTCTTCACAATACCGATACTTAATGTCTCACATTGATCTACTTAACCGTTTAATTTATATTACATAATTCATGAATTCAAAAAAAATATGATGAATATTAAAAATAGGAGAATCAAAATAAATTATTAATAAAATAAATTATAATATTAAAGTACTTCTCTCCATATGAAAAATTGCCGGTTGATTGAAAAGCACAGTGATTCTATACATTGATCGATCGGCTCATGCATCATCATCATGATAAACGGATAAAAGTCTGCCAAAGGGACTGTTCCTCCAGTCATGTCAATTATCACATATTCACATGTACTCTTGAGTTTTCAAAGTCCCACATTGCTCAAGGGAAATCGAGACAAGAAACGAGTGAACTATAAAGTGGAAGTTGAGGCACTGACCAAAGCATACCTTTCTCGGCCTTTTGGCTAAGATCAAGTGTAGTATCTGTTCTTATCAGTTTAATATCTGATACGTGGGCCATCGGTCCACATGATATTAAATTAATTTTTCCAGGGGGAGAGCCCACCACGGTAGCTTGCTATCGGGGCTCTCGAGCGTCGCCCATGCGTTGCACTACTGCAAGGGCCTGGCGCACCCCATCAAATCTAGTTAAGTTTTTATTGGCTAATTCTCCTTTACAAATGATCATGCACATTTATTTAAGGCAATGGGTCGGGCCGGGCGGAATCGGATATCTCTTAGCCCAGGTTTAAGCCCATTCTCATAACACAGGCCCAAGTCTGGCTTGAATTTGTTACTGGTATGATAAGCAAAACTCAAGCCTGGTTTGACGGGTTTTTTATAATCGCAAGTCAGGCTCAAGCCGTTTTTTTTAATAATATTTATTTTTAAATATCAATAAATTTTGAAGTTTTTTTATATTTTTAATTTTAGAAATAATTTTTAAATATTAATTGAAGCTATTTTCGTAAATAATTTAAGCGATAAGTGAGCAATTAAAATTCCATAACATTTGATTATACTAACTTTTTAGAGCATAATATGTTATGGTGAAATCCACTTTTATAAGTTGAACTAAACTCATGTAACTCATTTAAAAGCAATTTTAATATGTTAAACATTCAATATGAGATAAAAATTGAGGTTAGGGTTTGGAAAAAATATATATATATATATATATTGTAATTAAATATATAGTATAAGGGTAAATTAGTAAAATTAATACTAAATTTTTTGGGCCGGGCTTAAAGATATACCCATGTCCGGCTCATACCCGAGGTCAGGTCTTAAAATCAAGCCCAGGTCCAAGCCCAAGCCCGCCAACCTTGGGTAAAGCCCGCCCCTTTCAGGTCGGGCCGGCCGGGTACCCGAAAATGTCGGGCCCATTGCCATCTCTATGCACATCCCAACCAATTATGTTATTAGGGATGTGTAATATAATGATCATCATAATTTTTTGTAAAATTAATAAGTTTCATTAATATTATTATAGATAATGAAATGTATTTTTTCATTTATCAAATTTATTTTATTAATATTATTACGGATAATGAAATATATTTTTATTATTTATCAAATTTATTTTAAAATAATTATTTTGTGACATAAAAAAAACAATTCAATAAAACTCTTTTAAGAAGTATTGAAAGAATTTTATAATATCATCTTAATTACGTTTTCTATATAAACATTAAAATATTAAATAGAGTATTGTCAAATATTATGGCATTTATATATCCAATAAAGTAATACTAAATTTGTGTTTGATTTTGCTACTCGTTTCTCAAATCTAATTTGATTTAGATTTTTGATTGTTTGTTTATCTAAAATTATCGCTTATTTTTAGAAGTATTTATTGAATAAGTGAAAGTTCATTACTTAAATCTAAATCCGTGAATTTTCTATAAACACACAAACATAATTACTTAAAATACCCCTAATAATAATATTATTATTAAATAAAAATAAAAATGCTAAAGAAAATTAATAATTTATTTTATTTGAAATAATTTTTAAAATAAATTACCTTAATGAAGTTTCCGGTTGCTAGAACCTATGTCATCCATCAAATTTCGGTGGCCAAAAAGTATTTTCGCGAGGCTAGGAAACAAAATTGGCATCAAAATAACATTCTATCGATGTATACAACTACAACTTTTTCTAGCAAGAGCCGCAACATTTGGTCGGGATCTAACAACAAAAGTTTGGGTGGTTGCACTTTCTTAGTTAGATCTCAGTCAAATACTACATTTATTTTAACTAATGATTATGTAGATGGATAGATCGTTCAAAGACAATCATTTTGGTATAAATTTTATTACCATTATACATCAATCAATTTTTCAATGCCCAGAATCCTACTATCATCAGTCAGATTCCAACGATTGATTGAAGAATTTTTAACTTATATTGTTTCATAATTAACTAGACAATAATATAATTTATAAATTGCACTATATTTTAGTGATATAATTATAAGTTGAAGTATTACATAATTAATATATGGGTAGATTAATAAATTAAAAATATGGAAAAAATTATTTAGACATCATAAATTTAAAAAACAAACAAATTACATATCTTACAACTTTCAAGTGTCAGGTGCAACTAAACATTATTAAGTGTTTAATAATAATAATAATAATAGTAATAATAATGGGTGCGTTTGGTTTATTATTTTGGATATGATTTTGGAGATAATATTGGATGATTGAATATGAGAGTATTACGAGGTAAAATTTAAAAATTTATAAAAAACCCTCTAAGTTTGCTAATTTAATAAATACCCCAACATGTGAAATGACAAAAATACCCCCACCACCTGCAGTGCCAGATTCTAGCCACCACCACCGAAATCTGACTGAAAAATCACGTTACGACACAGATCAGTTGGATCTGTGTCGTAACGCGTTATTATGGCCTTTTCCGACCAGATCCACCACGGATCTGGCAGGAAAAGGCCAGATCTAAGGCCTGCCGTGGCCGTCGACGGTCAGATCTGGCCTTTTCCGGCCAGATCCATTGTGGATCTGGTTGGAAAAGGTTAGATCAGTGAATTACCGTCCAGTTCCGGTCAGTAATTCACTATCGTGGCAGATTCCGGCTACCACCAATGGTAGTTGCCGGAATCTGGTAAGTATGGGTCACGGGGGTGTTTTTGTTAATTTTTAAACTTTTTTTAGGGGGTATTTAATGAAATTAATAACCTTTTGGGGTCTAAAAGTAATTAAAAATAGAGTAATATTTATGGAATAATGTGCCAAACATTATTTGGAGAATATGATTGGGAATATGGATAATAAATAATAAGCCAACCATACTCAATAATAAAAAAACCCTTAAATATACATAATTTCAAAAGAATAATTTAAAAAAATAATAACTAATAAGAGAAATTAAAAATAACACATTAAAATTAAGAGTGAACATCACTCACACTCTTTGGGATCGATTTTTTTTTTTTTTTTTTTGGATTTCGTTGCTTGGGTAAAAGAAAGATCGTTGATTTCCTTTAAGATTTTTGAAATAATCTATCTAAGCTATGTGTAAACTTTTTATGCTCAAATGGATAAAAGCTGTTAGATTAGATTTAAATGAATGGTGGCTAATTTGTGTATCATTTAAGTCAATAATTTGTATTATTACCGATGATCTCTCAAGTTCGAGTCTCCTTAAATCTTGATAGTAAAAGAATAAAAAGAGGGTCTAACATAGTCTCCAAAGTTTGAGTTCCTACGGTTGTTAATTTGTTAATGAGAGTGACCACCAGAATTTTTACATAATCGATAGTTATAGGGTTTCGAGGGATTAGTTAAAGTCTGGACACCACGATCATAAAAAAAAAATGTATTATAATAGTCTGACTCATTAACTAATTGAGTAATACTACACCTACAATATTTTCTCATAAATTTTCTCTCACAATCTCGACGTGACACTTTGTAATTAATTAACTGCAATGTATATGGTGAAATCCAGGTGAGACTCATTACAAACTGACCAATTGGGAGTTGTTACGTCGCGATTGTGAAAGAAAGTTTATGAAAAAGTTTGTAGGTGTAAAAATCATGCATTTAAATAAAAAAAAAAAAAATGGAAATCAATTCATGAACGAGACAAGATGCCTTGGAAGTGGCTAAGACTGGGCAAACCAAACCACATAAACCCTGTGGAAATCGTGGATCTCTCAGTTGCCATGGAAGTGGTTTGTTCATTGGGACACTCAGATTTATGTGTGGTGTTATCAATATAACGTGTCCTATCTTATCCTCTCACAAACAGCCAAATGCAAAACCCCCACGAAGCCTCAAACGGATTATCTCTAACTCAATCCATAATTTAACAGGTCTCTCTGATTCATGGAATTGGTTTGTGGCTCTTTGACTTGCCACATGAATGTTCAATCTCTACGAACCAACTGTCAGCCGCTGGGGCCGCAACCGAACCAAACACAAACATAAGAGAATAAAATAAAAAAGGTAAAAGAAACAATAGATAAAACCCTAAGATCCCTTCCCATCATTGCCTAAACCCAACTGTTTACCTTTCTAGGTTTGGCTTCTGTTGGTTTTGTGTTTCTCTTTTGGAAAGAACACAAAAAAACAACAACAAAAATCCATGGACTCAAGTCACTCAAAGCCTCATTCCCCCCATGCCTCTCTTTCCACAACACCAGAGGCCCTAGCAAACCAACAAAAGAGCACTCTTTTCAGCTCATCATCTACAGGTTCTTTCTTAATCCGTGCTCCTCTTACTATTGATGATGACGATGATGATGACAATGATGATGATTTGGAGTCCAATGGTTATAAAATAACTGTTACTGACAGTGGTGATGGTAGTGGTGAAAGTATTACTAGTAGTGATAGTGAGGGGTTTGTGAGTGGTGAGGACTTTGAGACTGCCTCAGAGAGACCTTTCGTGGGTGACCCAGACGGGGAAAATTTTGAAGAAAGTGGTTTTGTCGATAAATACGTATTATCTAGGCCCTCTGTGGCTGACCCAGATGAAGAATTCTCTCAACAATCCACAGTAGATGATGAATATGATGACCATGTAGTTGATTTAGCTGTGGTGAATAATCCAAGGGTGAAGCCTTTTGCCCGTTTGACGATGGATGATGATGTTTTTGATGAGCTGGTTGCTGGTGATGAGATAATGTTGAGTGAAGAGCAAGATGCTGTCTTTTCATATGTAGCTAAGGTTCCTGGTACTGAGAATCTTGGGGGAGTTGATAGTACACCTAGAATTAAGTTAATGGATATAGAAGACGGAGAAGAGGAGCCATTATCTGAGCCACTGTCTCCGGTGATGTTCGTTGATGCTTCAGATTCGGGGAAATTTATTGCAGTTAAGGATGTGGGTTTGAGTACGTATGGCGAGGCAAGTTTGGTGGATGATTTTGTTGATGAACCAGTGTCAGCTGAATCGATTGCAGATAAGGGTAATGGTGTTACACAGAAGACTCACTTTGAGTCCTTTCTGGAGGGTAAAGAAGAGGATTTCGAGGTTGTTAAGAATAGTGTTGAGCGAGGACCAGTACCTGAAGTTTCTGCACGGAAACTGATTGCATCAAGTGGTAGCGATGGACATGAGAAGAAAGAATATGGTGCTGGAATAGGAAGGGGAAGTGCTTCTTTGGATCAAGGTGGTGCAATAGAAAACCTGGAAAGTAAAAGCGAGCCAGTAACTGATATGGGAGTACATTTGTATGATCCATTGGCAGTCATCTCAGTCGAGTCCAAAGGTGGTTTTGTTGAGGGGAGGGAAGTTCAGGATGTGGATTATGAAGTTTCAGAATCAAATTCAACTCTGCAGGATGGTAAATTGCCTGCAACTAATGAGGATGATAAATTGCAAGATTCAGAGTTAAATAGTTCCAGTTCCTTTGAATTTGTAAAACAAAGCTCCTTTTCAGACCATGAAGTAAAACCTGAAGCAGAAGATGATGTTCATACACGAGGAAGGGAAAAGAGTTTACTTTCCGATCAAGAAGTTGAAGAATTAATTTTCGGCAGTTCGGCAGGGGATTTTCAAGACCAGTCACGGAGAGTTGATGGACAGATCATCTTGGACTCGGATGATGAAGTTGACGCTGATAGGAATGGTGAAGCAAATGAATTATTTGATTCTGCTGCATTGGCTGCTCTTTTGAAAGCTGCAACTAGTGCTGAGTCAGATGGTGGTGGCCTTACAGACATCTCTGCTTCAAGAGTATTCTCTCTTGAAAATTCCTTTGGCTCAGGTTCCTTAGCTGCACCACCAAATGTCGGTAAGGATGGATCAAAGGACAACCTCAGTGATGAAGAAAAGAAGAGGATTGAGAAGATACAACTCTTGAGAGTGAAATTCTTGAGACTCATCTGGAGAGTGGGCTATTCGCCAGATGATTCCCTTGTTGCACAAGTGTTATACAAACTGGCTCTAGCTGTGGGGAGGCATTCCAGTGAAGCATTCAGCCTTGAATCAGCCAAGAGGGTTGCTATGCAATTGGAAGCAGAAGGTAAAGATGATTTGGACTTCTCTTTGAACATTTTGGTGCTTGGGAAAACTGGAGTGGGAAAGAGTGCAACCATTAATTCTATTTTCGGCAAAGAGAAAGCCAGTGTTGATGCATTTGAACCTGGAACTACCTCTGTGAATCTTATTGCTGGAATGATAGATGGAGTTAAGATTAGAATCCTTGACACACCGGGCCTCAGATCTCCTATGACGGAACAAACTATCAACAAGAAAATATTAGCGTCTATAAAGAAGTTTACGAAGAAGTTCCCTCCAGATGTTGTCCTCTATGTTGATCGATTAGACAGCCATATTAGAGATGCTAATAATTTTCCATTGTTACGGTTAATTACTAGCTCTCTTGGTTCGTCAATATGGCAAAATGCTATTGTGTGTTTGACTCATGCTGCTTCTGATCCCCCAGAAGGGCCATCTGGGTCTCCCCTTAGCTATGAGGTGTTTGTTGCTCAACAATCCCGTGCTATCCAGCGAGATATCAGCCGGGCAGTTGGTAATCTGCGTCTGATGAACCCAGGCATGATGCATCCAGTGTCTCTTGTTGAGAACCATCCGTCCTTTCGAAAGAATAGATTTGATAAAAGTGTGCTCCCAAATGAAGAGAGTTGGAAACCACAATTGTTACTAGTTGGCTTCTCATTAAAGATCTTATCTGAAGCAACTACTGTGTCAAGACATCAAGATCCCTTTGATCATAAGAAGCTTTTTGTCTTCCGTCGTCCTGCACCTCTATCCTACTTGTTGTCGTCACTGTTGCAGTTTCGCTCTCATCCAAAACTCTCCACTGATCAGGGTGGTGATGAAGTTGACTCAGATTTTGAATTGGGTGATTTATCAGATTATGAACTAGAAGACAACGATGAATACTCCCAGCTTCCACCTTTCAAGCCTCTGAGGAAATCTCAGGTTGCTAAGCTGAGCAAGGAGCAAAGGAAAGCCTACTTTGAGGAGTATGATTATCGGGTCAAGCTCCTTCAGGAGAAACAGTGGAAAGAGGAGCTCAAAAGATTGAGGGAGATCAAGAAAAAAGGTATCAGTAAGGACTATGATTTCAACAGTGAAGATGGGGAAAATGAAGATGAAAGTCCTGTAGCAGTACCTGTTATTTTACCTGACCTTGCTCTACCACCTACTTTTGATGGTGACAATCCTACTTACAGATACCGATTTTTGGAGCCTACATCTCAGCTTCTTGTGAGACCAGTTCTTGACTCGCACAGTTGGGACCATGATTCTGGGTATGATGGTGTCACCTTTGAAAGAAGTCTTGCTATTGCCAGCCGGTTTCCTGGTGCATTCAGTCTTCAATTAACAAAGGATAAAAAGGACTTCGTTGTCCAGTTAGAATCCTCAGTTTCAGCAAAGCATGGGGACAACGGATCAACCATGGTAGGATTTGACATACAGACTTTTAGAAAGCATCAGGCTGCTTACGCCCTGAGAGGCGAAACCAAATTCAGAACCTTCAAAATAAACAAAACATCTGCTGGATTATCAGTTACTTTATTCGGTGAGAATCTGGTAACTGGACTGAAAATTGAGGATCGGATTGCTGTTGGAAGGGACTTAGTTTTGGTAGGAAACGCAGGAGCTATACGATGTCAAGATGATACAGCGTATGGAGCCAACCTGGAATTGCGCCTTAAGGATAAAGAATATCCTGTAGGGCAGGACCATTCCAGTTTAAGTCTGTCGCTTATGAATTCGAGAGGTGACTTAACTATGGTGGCCAACCTACAGTCTCAGTTCTCCATCGGATTCGGTTCCAAAATGGCAGTACGCGTGGGATTGAATGACCGGCGAAATGGGCAAATAACTGTAAAATTAAGCAGCTCAGAGCAACCACAGATGGGTCTCGTTAGTATTCTTCCATTAGCAGTAGCCCTCTTTCGGAATATTTTTCCAGGATCTGGTGGGAAAAACTCAACATAATAGTTACTTATTGCAGTCTTTTTTCACTGTTCAAATTTTTTTCCATCTGCAAAACGCCTAAATTATTCTAGTGGGTCTGTATTAGCTGTAACATTAATGAGATGAAACCTATTTTGTATAGTTATTGTATTTCATGATCTTTTTTTGGTGAAAGTGCTTCATAATTCTTGTAGCTGAGTCAAGAACAATTGAAGCCCCCACGCACTAACAGACTCTTATCTGGCTAATAGTTTCAAGGTTTCAAAGACCAGTTCAAATACGTATAAATTGATCCGAACGCTCTTATTAAAAAAAAAAAAAAAACAAATAGAACAATTGAAGTAGATTAGCAGGGAAGCTAAAGAGCATTTGTTTGACTTGATCCCAGCCTGCATCGTTACATAGATGCCAATATATTGCAACTTGATAGCCTAAATGTGACGCAAATGTTGTCTAAACCTATTGCTAAACCATTGGATATCTGGTTTATAATTTAAAAAATGGTGAAAATTCTGGAATTTAATTTAAATATAATCGATTTTACTCTACATTAGTATAAAACACAAGCTGGTTTTATTTATTTAGACTTCCCTTAAATATATATTAAGAGATATTTTTATAATTTATAATTAATTAATTATTATTATTACACCTCAACTCAAAGTTCATTCATGAGTCGGAGGTTATCATATATAACGAAATTTAAAAGGGGGAGGTTCAAAATAAAAGGCTGAGAGGTTTGGTTCAATTATCCACACGATATTTCCCTCTCAGTACTCTCAGACGATGGAGCAGCTCTGTAGTAAATGAATCAGGACTGAAATTATCGAAATAGATAAATAAGCGAACAAAAATGTCCTTCATTTTAAAGTCATTTGCTGCAAATTCCTCTGTATCAACTCCCAGAGAAGCCACTATTGCCATGATGCAGAGCTCTTCGTATACAGTACGAATAGCTCCGTAACTTTCATTTTTAGCTTTATTTTAACTTGCTTTCACTTGTTCATAATTCGTTTTTTAAGTTCTACGCATTTTTTAGTTTTATAAATCCGTTGTTGAAGAGAAAGAGAACGTGGAAGCTTGCTTGTGCCATTTTATTTTCTTAAGGTTTCTCTGTATACGAACTGAGGTTTTTCTGGTTTTGAATTAGTTCTATTGAATTTTTGTGTAATTGAGTATAATTTTCGCTCTATGTATTGTGTTTTGATTTAATTTCGATTTTTTAATTGTTGTGCATTTATTGCTCGATAAAATGTCTTTTAGAGAGGGAGTTGATTTGTTGATGATATTAATCTGCCAACGTGTTTAGTTCTGTATTCAGAAAGTAATTTTAATCGGATAAAATGTTTGATATTTTTTACACAAATGTTGATAATCTGAGGACTGACTAAAGTGTGTGTTAGTAATAAGAACTTTTGCGGTGTGCAAAAGTTTGAGATAATGAGTGAGTGAGAGAGAGCTAGAGAGTGAAAGAGTGCATGAGAACAATAGTGGTTTTCTCATTTCATTTAATGTGTGAGATGAGAGTGCGGTTAACGATTGAGGTTTTACATTTAGACTTGAGAGCTATTTAGCTTTGTACAAATTGTCTATTTTCTTAGTGATTTTCTTTGACGTCGGTAGGCCTTGTTTCATGTAACCACTTAAATTTTGTGTTTGATTGTATTATTGCTTTCTGTCTTATTTTGGTGTAAGTTGTTGTGCATTACTTTGAGTACATGGTTTAAGTATATTGATTTTACAATAGAGAGAATCTACATTAGTACTGATTAATTGTATTGTTAAATGTTCAGGTCTTGTCGCAAAGAACTTGCTCATCTTTTAGGAGAACAGCTTCTGTTAAATTATTTGATTTCAAAGGAAGCTCGTCGGTCAGAGTCTTCTCTTTCTTAAATATGACGCGTTATTCAACTTACTCAGGTGATGAGTTTTGTTCTTCTTCAAAGCGAAGATCACGAGGACCTGTTATGGCTGCAAAGAAAGCAGCTGAAGGTGTGTATTGTTTTAATCATTTGTTAATTAAAATGTAATCTTTTCATTCTTCGAATATGTGGTGCTTTTTTGGAGTCGTTCAGCTACACAACTTCGTTGAGAAGTTCCATTGCTATGTTACCTTTTCTAGAGGATGCACATAAAATTTCATTGCCTTCTTTGGTGTTCTCGGTATTTTCAGGGCAAAAGCAAGAAGAGGGAAAGTACAAGCACACAGTTGATTTGCCGAAAACAACTTTTGGCATGAGAGCTAATGCTTTGGTTAGGGAGCCTGAAATTCAGAAATTATGGGATGCCCATCAGGTTTTCAAGAAGGTTGCTGATAACAATGATGGGGTGGGTTTCATAGCTACCACTGAGCTCCTTAAGAAAAAGAATTTGAAGTTATTATCTAACTTTAGTAACTTTTGTCAGGGAAATTTTGTTCTTCATGATGGTCCTCCATATGCCAATGGAGACCTTCACATGGGCCATGCTCTGAATAAGATATTGAAGGATATCATTAATCGTTATAAGGTAACTTCCTTCCATAGCTCAGAAATTTATTATTAATTATGCATTTAAATCAATACTCTTAATCTTGCAAATGAAATCATGTTAAAGAAATGATGAACATGTTGAAGGCACGTATGATTCTGTTACGATGTATTTGTATGAACGCACACATGGATTAGTTCCACTGTGCCCATGCCAAAAAAAGGGGGAAAATTGATCTATATCTCACATAAACCAAGTAGATTTTTTCAGTCAAAGCAGTTTTGTGCTAAGTTGCTTTTGTATAGAGGCTCCATCAAAGGTTGAATCCACCAGTTAAAATTCTGAACAACATTGAAGGAACTGCAGCCAGCTGTTGGTGAAGTGTTAATTCTGAGTAAATTACATAACTTTAACCTAGGTTCAAGAGGTTTGGAATTGTTGAGAGGCTATTTTGCCCATTAATCATGGTTATTGGATATTCACGGCCAAGAAGTTCACATGCGGGCTATCCCAATACTGTTCACAACTTTGAACTCATGTCTGAACCACATTCCTTAAATCAGGCTGTTTGATTTGCCTAAACAGTTCTCATCTAGATTGATTAATTTATCAGTTTGTGGAGAACTCTATCTACTTAGAGTACTAATGAAGACTGAAATTACCACTTATACTCAACTTTTGAATTACTATATTCAGGCTTATGTTTTGTTTCGATTATGGTCTATAAAGATATGAAATCTTTGTGCACATTTAATTGTAATATCTTCTTCTTCTTGGATAATTCTTGTTTTATTATTGAAATTACAATCACATTTACTGGTCTTCACTGTCTTCTTATTTTATTTATTTATTTAATTTTTTATTTTTTTTGTTTATTTTTTTTGTTTTTTGTTTATGGGGCAGCTTCTCCAAAATTATAAAGTTCATTATGTGCCTGGTTGGGACTGTCACGGCCTCCCAATTGAGTTGAAAGGCAAGTATCTATTTGATAGTTGGCATTGTTATTGGCCTTTTTTTAGGTTCAACGTGAAATCTGATTGATCCTTATGGAATTGGTGACGCCGATAAAGCTATACACAATTACAGTGAATATTTTCACCATTTTCAATGTAATAATTATTGAGTCATTTCAATTGGTTAAACTAAAATTTTTTATCTTTGAGTTATATGGAAATTCAATGAGAAGTTACGAGCTCAACTCTTATGGGATTTGACTGCCATTTGAATTATATCAGTTCTGCAGTCATTGGATCAAGATGCCAAAAAGGACCTCACACCAACAAAGTTAAGAGCAAAGGCTGCCAAATTTGCCAAAGCAACAGTCAAAGCTCAGATGGCATCTTTTAAGGTGACATCCTTGTTTATTTGCTCTTTGTTGTTGATTACTCTTTTTACCCATACTATCATGTTGACTTCTCCTCTAAATATTACTTTGTAATCATTTGAGGTTTATATGTTTATATTGGAAGTAGTTTTGTTTCCCATTATTTGACAAATAATGCAAATCATTAATTAATAGATTTTGATCCAGTGATTTGATCCTTTTAAGTTTTAATGTTTTTAGCGCTATGGAGTATGGGCAGACTGGAATAACCCTTATCTAACTCTCGATCCTGAATATGAGGCTGCACAGGTAACTGGTATTGCCTTTCTTTACTGTACTTATATTGGTGTTTGAGTCAAATCATGATTTATAACCCTGCACTTCTTCTAGTTTTGTGTAAATTCAAGCAACTGCACTTTATAGTTACCTCCATATAAAGCTTCAAACTAATGAAAATGCTATGTCGATACCTAGTTCTATACTTTTTCTTGACTAGACATGTTTAAATGTCTGTGCCAATTTGTACAACAAATGAGAAGATGTCTTTGCCTGTTTCACATTGATTTGTATGTTGTGTGAGCACTTAAATTTTGTGACTTTCTGATGAATTGTTTCTTAATCATCATATCATCTGCTAGATTGAAGTGTTTGGCCAGATGGCCCTTGAAGGGTATATATATCGGGGCAAGAAACCAGTTCACTGGAGTCCTTCATCACGTACTGCTCTTGCAGAGGCTGAATTGGAGGTAATTTAAGTTCTGACTGTACCTTCTTTACATCCTTGTATTAAACCTACAATGATTAAACTGTATTCAACTCTGTCCATTTCACCTTATACTCTCTGGATTTAGTCTAGATAACAATCTAATCTTGTAATAATAGAAATTTATGATTAGTGACAGCATTTGTCTCCAATCATTTTTGAAGAGTGACGTTCTCAAAATATTTTGAATGTGCTCTTTCCTAATGCAGTATCCTGAGGGACATGTTTCAAGAAGCATATATGCCATTTTCAGGATATTGAGTGCATCTCCAACTTCTGATGGCTTATTAAAAGAATTCTTTCCAGATTTGTGCTTGGCCATATGGACAACAACTCCATGGACTGTCCCAGCAAATGCCGGTGAGTCATCATTTGGTTGTAGTTTTTGTATAATTGTTTTAGTATATTAATATTGGCATTGAAATAAGTATTTATGCTTAAGGTTTTGCTAATTTCAGCAGTCACAATAATATCAGTTTTGATTAAATATTTATACGTCCTTTTTCAAATTCAGAGTAGAAAACAAGAATAATACTCGAAACAATCTGGTATCATTCTTTTATATTTTATCAATATGGATGTTGTGTTGAGTTTTCTTTTGTATTTGATCTTAGGAGGTTGCAGTATTCATGATTCTCTTGGTAATATCATTCTTTTGTGATTGAGCTATCTGAAAGGTGAGAATAATGCTTTTGAAAAAGATCATCATGTACTGGTAAAGATGCAGAAACTATTAATCCTAGAGACCTGTGCTATTATTGTTGTTTTGAACATATTTTACTCTGGTTGCCTTAAATGCTGAGGTGCTTAATCTGCCAATTGAATTTATGCCAGTTTGACAAAGAGAGTAAATGTTTTGTTTGTGTTTGCAAGAGATATTCATATTCCCTTTTAATACTATTTTGATGAACTATAATAATTCTTTTCCAACATTCTTTCACTTTTTCTTGTTTTCTTTTTTCTCAGCTGTTGCAGTGAATGCCAAACTTCAATATGCAGTTGTTGAAGTACAATCCTTGGAAGGTGTTTCCGTGATCCCTGAAAATAAAGAGAAAAGGATTGGAAATGTTCTTAAGGAACAGAAGAAGCTTTTCATTATTGTAGCATCTGATCTTGTGCCCACATTAGAAGCAAAATGGGGCACAAAGCTTGTTGTCAAGAAAACATTGTTGGGTTCGGATCTTGAAAACTGCAGGTTTGGATTTAAATAAAAATTTGTGTATCATGCACAGAATTCATTGGGGATCAATCATTTACTAATGGTTACATAATTTTCCTTCTTAATTTAACTAAACTTGTATACTCAATTTTCGTTCTCTAGAGAATGAATTGTTTACATTATGCATTTTCTAAAATCTAGTCTTAATTGTAATTTCAGGTATGCTCACCCAATAGATAACAGGGAGTGCCCAGTTGTCATTGGAGGAGATTATATTACTACTGAATCAGGAACTGGACTGGTGCATACAGCTCCTGGTCATGGTCAGGAGGATTTTGTGACTGCCCTGAAGTACGGACTACCTATACTGTCTCCTGTAGATGATGATGGAAAGTTTACTGAGGAAGCTGGACGGTTCGGTGGGCTTCATGTACTTGGAGATGGAAATGGTGCTGTTGTGAACTATTTGGATGAACAAATGTCCATTATCATGGAAGAGTCATACAGTAAGTTTTATTTTTTTCCTTTTAAGTATAGAGAATTGGTTATTGGATTCTGGTTACTTGTTAATGAAAAAAAAGGTATCTTTATCAGTCTGTTTATTAAGCTCCTCCATCTTCTCTCTTATGCAGAGCACAAATATCCATATGATTGGCGAACTAAAAAGCCCACTATATTCAGGGCAACTGAGCAATGGTTTGCATCAGTGGAAGGATTTCGCCAGGCTGCTATGGATGCAATTGGCCAAGTAAAGTGGATCCCTCCTCAGGTACTGGTGTTTAAATTAACTGAAGTACTATAGTGAGGAATGTTTGGCCAATTAAATGTCTCTGCACTGATCTCGAGTAATTATGATAAAAACTATATGGATTGGGCTTGTAATGGATACAAGGCGTCTGCTGTGTTAACTTATTGAAACTGTAGTTATGCAACTTATTTTATTGTGCATCATGACAATCAGTTTTCAACTCATTCTATATCAGTCTGGCTAGGATCTGGGTTAATAGAAGGAATGGGTGTACAAAAAGAAAATTTTGTTAGTATGTTTCAAGTATATGAATTGTTGATCTTTCTGAAATGAATGCCTTTGTATCACAAATACAATTATGAAAATTATGTTTGTAATGATGGACTCATGGAAGATATGTGTTTTCCAAATACTTGCTAACTTTATCTGTTCCACTTTGATGTTTACTTTTTATTTCCTCAAAAAACATTTTTTAAGGGTTAGTTTGAGGTTGCATCTATCTACTTTGAGTGTCTTAGCAATTTCTTACCCACTTTCATGTGGCATTGTTAATACACATATTCTGTGAGACTTTGAAGCTGTTGGATTTAGAATTGTAGTAGAATCTACTTGTTACATGTTTGATTTACTTTGTAATTTGAATTATAAATGCTTGTGGATAGTGTAACATATCTATCGGTGTGTCTTGTTTATGTAATGGCTGTTTGGATAATCCATTGTTCAGGCAGTAAACAGAATTTCTGCGATGACTTCGAGTCGCTCTGACTGGTGCATATCAAGACAAAGAACATGGGGAGTTCCTATTCCAGTCTTTTATCATGTGGAATCAAAGGAACCTCTTATGAATGGAGAGACTATTGATCATATCAAGTGTAAGAACAGCTCAATAATTCTTTCTGCATATATAGATTTTAGTTTTCTTTGTCTACTTTTACTAGTCTGCATCCGACATTTTTTTAAGTTCTTCCTGTGCGTCATGGCTTATCCCACTTTTTCCCTGAAATTTTTAAAGTTTTATAATCTATGGCCTGATATCAGATTTTTGCACCTCTGATAATTTATTTTGGCAGCTATAATATCTCAAAAGGGCAGTGATGCATGGTGGTACATGACTGTAGAGGATCTACTTCCTGACAAATATCGTGCTAAAGCATCAGACTATGAGAAGGGAACTGATACAATGGATGTCTGGTTCGACTCTGGTAATGTGCTGCTATAAACCTTGTCAGTTTTTAAATAGGCTCATGAATGAATATTACCTTGTAATTCTGCATGCATTTCCATATCTGCTCTTTGTTCTTGAATATGTCATTGCAGTTTTAAAAATCTCTTCAAATACATCTTACATGGCACTTTACTAGGAATCTGGTGTTTCTTAGTTTCTCACATCCTATTCCAGGTTCTTCTTGGGCTGCTGTGTTGGGAAAAAGAAATGGCCTTGGTTTTCCTGCGGATTTGTACCTTGAAGGTACAGACCAGCATCGTGGATGGTTCCAGAGTTCTTTGTTAACATGTATTGCAACTAAAGGTAATGGACATCTTGAAGCAATTTTCCATGTCACAATAGATTTTTTAGATGCAACATGTGTTGTACAAGTTTTTTGTTGTTTCACTACTGTCTAGATCGTTGTTATCCTATTGCCATCGATCTCATGTATTTTTTTGTTGGGAGATGATGAAGACATGGATAGCTGTTTGTTCCATCACCGATTTACTGTCTTGTTCTGAGTCTTGTCAATCACTGTCCTGTGCACTAAGACTTAACTCTGGAGTTCACACTTTTCCACAATGCTCTTAGATTTCTACTCCATGAACTGTTGTTCACATGTTCAAGTCCAATGATAGAAGGCTTTTGTTGGAAAAGTTCAAAAAAAAAAAAAAAGTACTGCGATAAACACGTCATTTATTATCTCCTTATGTTATTTTTCATCAATAAGGGGCATTTTAAATCTCTGGGGATCATCATTGATAAAAACTAACTCCAGCACTTCTCTTTTGTGCAGGAAAGTCTCCATATTCAAGTGTTGTAACACACGGATTTGTATTGGATGAAAAGGGTTCTAAGATGAGCAAATCGTTGGGTAATGTTGTAGATCCACAAAAGGTGATTGAGGGGGGGAAAAACCAAAAGGTTAGTTTGTGGTTGATATTGTCCCAATTCTAGTTTATATTTATTTTTATTTTTTCTATTTTGGTCAGTAAATCATGAATAAACCTCTTTTGGTGACAGGAAGCACCTGCCTATGGAGCTGATGTTTTGCGACTCTGGGTTTCAAGTGTGGATTATACAGGTGATGTATTGATTGGCCCTCAGATTCTCCGTCAAATGTCTGACATATACAGAAAGCTTCGAGGAACACTGAGATTCCTTTTGGCCAATCTGCATGATTGGAGTGTATGTTCTAAATCTTCAATGACTGAACTTAAAGTTTTAAGCCATTGCAAGAATTGAGCTGATACTTTTACACTGGCGTTAAAATTGTTGCAGTTTTTCCCCCCTTTCCTCATAGCCTAAGAAGTTTATATTGCATTCCAACACTAATCGCTTGCAATTGTTTTTTCTTCTCAAGCTGCAATTTCTTTGTCTTTAGCGGTTATTTGAAGCAATATTAATCTTGTTATGCAAAAAACTGTGCCATTTGCAGGTTGGTAATTCTGTTTCATATGATGATCTTCCCATTATTGATCAGTATGCCCTATTTCAACTTGAAAATGTTGTGAAGAACATAAAAGAGAGTTACGAAAACTATCAGTTTTTTAAAATTTTCCAGGTACTTGTTATTATGCTGTTGATTTTGGATATTTCAGTAGTGATTAGTTGTCTTGCTTCATAAGTCAGTGACATCTTATTTCTAATATGGCATTAATCAATAACATGAATTCCTTTTCTACTCCCAATATTGTGACAGAATTTTTGTCTTTCAGATTATACAAAGGTTTGTCATTGTTGATTTGTCGAATTTCTATTTCGACGTTGCCAAAGATCGACTTTATGTTGGGTAATCCTTTTTTCTTTCTTGTTGTTTACTTGGATATCGATTTCTTCTCTTGTTTTCTTGTCAAAATCTATAGTTTCTTATCCAAAAACAATATATGCTTCTCTAACTTTTGCTTCCATATGATGGATAAATTATTTACACATGTTTTAAACACCCAAATTCCTTTTAATACTATTCGTATCTTATGATAAACATGAGATTGTAAAATGTTTGTTTATAGCCTCTAAAATCTTGGAAATGTTTGCACAAAACAATACTCAAAGCGTACTCATATATACTTCTAATCTTCAAAAAATAAAATTTACAATATGGTGGAGGCTACAATTTATACATCACTTTGAGGTCATCGGGGCTGTTGTAGCTAAAAATATTTGCATAATAAGGGATATCAGCTTGAATCTAACTCAGGGAATTTCAATTTCAAACCCTTGGCTTTATCTTTTGATTTTTTTTTTTTTTTTTTTCCTTAGTATTAAGATAGGTGATCTTTAAAAGTTATATCCTCTACCTTAGTTATTCGATCACTTTCAGGGGAACAACAAGTTTTACTAGAAGAAGTTGTCAAACAGTTCTCTCTGCGCATCTCCTTTCCATTGTTAGGGTAATTGCTCCAATTCTGCCACATTTGGCTGAAGATGTGTGGCAAAACCTCCCCTTTCAGTATACTCTTGAAGATGGTTCTACTGCTGAATTCGTTTTTGAATCAAAATGGCCCATGTTGAATGAAAGATGGCTTGCTTTCCCTGTTGAAGAAATTGATTTCTGGGAAAAAATTCTTGAGGTAATCATGGTTTTCACCCAATTACAGCTAAGTAGGTTAAGTTTTTTAATGTTTTCAATTTTCCTAATTTTCCTTTTGTCTTATGATAGTGCCCGAGGGAAGTGCAAATTTATTTATGAATATCTCGTTATCTTAATGAATTGAAATCAAATAAATTCAGTAGTACTGAATGTTTTTTCTCATATTTGGCTCCGAATAGATTTTGCAATAAACTTAGCTTGTTTCTAGATCTTAAAAGCACCTTTATATATTATTTTGGCAAGTTCTTATTGAACTTTCAAGTGCTGCGGATTACAATGTTTATATCTGTGAAGTAAATCGAAGCAATCTAACAGTCGTTCCCTAAATTCCCTGTTTATAGAAGGAATACCGAAAAATTCTTTTTGTATAGATGAAAAACTTGCTAGCTATTGGTTTTGATGATCTTACTGAACATTGTTTACTGTCTTATTTGACTCAACTTGACCAGCTGAGAACAGAGGTAAATAAAGTGCTGGAGGTTGCTCGTACAGGGAAGTTAATCGGTTCAAGTTTAGAGGCAAAGGTTTATCTACATACGGGCGATGCTAGTCTGGCTTCTAGATTGCACGAAATGTGTGCAGCTAAAACCGATGCAGATACATTGCAACGTATATTCATAACATCTCAGGTATGAAAATTTCTTTGTTACTTACACTATCTAGCTTAGTTTTTGGAACCATAATCAAACTAATGCTAGTGTTGATTGCTTGATGTCACTGCCAACTGTCAGTTTCACCATCAGGAAATAAAATTATTTAAAACTTTTCATACAACAATTGAAAATTGTTTTTGTTGAAATTAGTTTATGTTTGTAAAAACAATGAAACATGTTCTCGTGTTTATTCATCGAAAAGGATTGCAATATATGGGCATCCTAATAATGGAGTGAAAATTTGATTCAGCTATGCTCACATTCAGTTCTTCAAAAAATGACAATATACAGGTAGAGGTGATTCCGTCAATGGCGATTGAACTGATTGAGAAAATTCCTTATTCCGGAGAGTATCTCATTCAACAAAAGGATAGGGTTTGGATTGGTGTCTCATATGCAGAGGGCTTAAAATGCGAAAGATGTTGGAATTACTCTCCGCAAGTTGGATCATTTGTAGAACACCCCACACTCTGTGGTCGCTGTTATAATGTTATTGCTGTTCAACCACTTCCTTCTATGGCAGCTGTCAGCTGAGAGTTGGAAGTGTTGAGGAACTGAAAACCATTTAATCCGGTACCTGAAAGATTTAACCGGTTTGTTCAATATATAAAGCTTCAAGCCTTCAACGTCGATTTGGAGTTCATTTTTGGCAGCAATTGAGATTGAAAGTTGACATTGACAGCGGGGGTGGAGAATACCTTATACGAGCCAGATCTACTCAGGTGATCATAGACAAATAATGAACATATAATATAAGGTATTAAGCTATCAGATTCTCAGAATCCCAAATTGTAAAAACTCCAATTTCATTCTTTACTTATAAACCATTTTTGCATTTACATACTAGCGGAAAAGAAGATATGAAGGGGTGCCAATCAAAATTATTGTTTTCTTTTTTATTTTCCCTGCGTTCGTGGGCTTTTTGGGAGTAATAAATAATCTCTTAGAAGAAGAATAACCTAAGGGTCTGTTTGGGAGTTTTTTCCCACTGGTTTTGAGAGGTTTTTAATTAGACTGGTTTTAAGGTGTTTTTAAACCATTACTTGTCAGATTTTTTATACACTGGTTTTAACTGGCTCAAAAACCCTCCAGAACCAGTGTAGCGTATTTTTGAGGGGTTTATAAAACATCTCAAATCGGGGTGTTTTGGTTGGTTCTAAAATTTTATTCCACAAATACCATATCCACTATAAAACTATCCCAATTATATAAAAAAAAATTATTAAAATCTCATTTCTAGATGCTTTCTTGGAGAAGTAGAGTTAAAATTTTTTAATCATTCCAGATGCTGCAAAGGATGGCGAAGAATGATAAAAAGACTATCACGTTTGAAATTATAAAATACTAATAAGTAGAAAACAAATAAAGAACTCTTACCTTATAATTGAAAAAACAAAACTCTAAAGCATTAGTTAGAATTGGAGTATTTTTATGGGCATATGTAAATTTATCATTTTAAAAAACTGTTAGAACCTCTAGAAAATAAACTCTCAAGTACAGGTTATGTGTTTTAAAAACTGCAACTAAAAACCTTTCAAAACCGCTACGATGGTTTACTCTCAAAACCGCTACAGTGGTTTACCTCATAACTGCTACCATGAAACTCCCAAGCAGACCCTAAAGTGTATCTTGCTGTGCTCAAGAGAGCAACACAAGTTTTTTAATTGCTCTCTATTGTTAAGAATAATGTTAAACCTACAATCTTTTCTTATAAACTTTTTCTCAATCCCGATATGATAATTCGTAATTGGTCAATCGCAATTTATCAGGTAAGATTCATTACGACTTGACTAATTACAAGTTATCACATTAAGATTGTAAGAGAGTTTATTAAAAGATATTGTGGGTGTAACATTTTCCCGATTGTTAATAGGGACGAGGTTTTGAGTTCAATTAATAAAGATGACCACTGAAAGGTTTATTCGATCGTTAACTGTAAGACACTATTTTAAAACCGACCTGAGCCTTAACTAGGTCAAGGGCTCGGGTCTCGGGTTGATCGATCCAACCCGTTGGACTAGTGATGTCATTATAATGATGTCAGTTAAAATGTAAAATGACGCCGTTTCAAAGAGGGTATTANTCATTAACTGTAAGACACTATTTTAAAACCCGACTTGAGCCTTGACTAGGTCAAGGGCTTGGGTCTCGGGTTGATCGGTCCAACCCGTTGGACTGGTGACGTCATTATAATGATGTCAGTTAAAATGCAAAATGACGTCGTTTCAAAGAGGGTATTATTGATTTTTCAAAACTTATAAAGAAAATCCTAAATTCCTTACTTTTATTTATTTTTCCCATTTCTTTCTCTCTTCTTCTATCGTCTCCCTTTCTTCTCTCCCTTGCTTCTTTTTTCAATCTACCATGGCTACCGTTTGGACCTCAACGGTGTAGGCTTCGTGGTTGCTCCGCCATGATGTAGATTTCGTGGCTACTGGATCTATCCACCACGGTGAAGGCTTCATGGCTGGTGGATCTATCCACCACGGTGAAGGACGGTGAAGGCTTCATGGCTACTGGATTTCCTTTTTTCCATTTCTTTTTTCTCTTCTTCTGCCGTCTTGTTTCTTCTCTCCCTGGCATTTTTTTTTTTTTTTCGATCTACAATGGCCTTTGTTTTAAAAACCGGATCGGACCGGGACCTGGGGCCTTCTCCGGGTCGGTTCACTCTTTTTAACTATTTAAAGTTTAAAACATAACAAACACACCCCTGATTATTACCATCAGTCCCTGAAGGTTTCAAATCTAGCAAACACACCCTCTGGCCAAATGCAAATCGGCAATGACCTCCCCTTTTTCGGCGACCTTCCACCTTCCCTTACGTCGGAAACCACCTTCTGAGTTTTGACTTTCTCCGGCGCTGTCACGCTTCATCTCCAGCTGTCGCGTGACGTTTCATCGTCCACCTTCGCCGCAAGATTTTTCTTCCATTTCCCGGCGTCGATCGACCTTCTCCGACATCGACAGGCTTCCTCAGCCACCGATCTGCCATTTTCCAGCGATGCCTCTACTTGCTAGCTGCTGATTCATCCTCCCCATCATCCGATCTACCCTCCCTGGTGTGTCGCCGCTGCTTTCCCAATCGATCGTCGATTTGCATTTGGTCAGGGTTGTGTTTGCTAGATTTCAAACCTTTAGGGTCTGATGGTAATTATTATGGGTGTTTTTTTTAGATTTTAAACCTGTCAAACCATCGGTTCAACCGGCGGTCCAACCGATTGGACCGATTGAATGGTGACCCGGCTATCAGAGCGGTTTGCCCTCCGGTCCGATTTTTAAAACAATGACAATGGCTAGTTGGCTACTTACGCATCTTGTTGGCTTTTTGACATCTTTGCCTAAGGTTTTCTCGAAATTATTGATTGGGTTGCAATTTGTTGGTTGGACTGTTTGGTATTTGCTGCAATCATTATTTTCCATCCAGCAATCCATGAATTTAAATTTTGAAACATTGACTGTTACTATCAAATGTTGTGATATGTTTAATAGACATTTAAATTATGATAAAAATTGAAGCTGGAGAACTGGAAATTGGAAAAGGGAAATTGTTTTAGGGATTTTTGGTGACCCGGTTGTGCCACCGATCCGGTTGAATAAGTGGTTTGTCACTATTCAACCAATCCAAATCCGGGTTAATTGTTAAAAGCAAGTTTAGAATGTTTCCGAACTAGTTTTGATGCTAGCTCTCGATTGAACCGGTTCGACTGGTCGATCCGGTCCAGGTTTTAAAACAGAGCTCTAAGACCCCCAAAGATTAGTCGATGTGTATACAAACTTGACTCGAACACTCCCGTTTAAGGAAAAAAAAAAATCTGAATTTACTTTGCTTCATCAACCAACTGGATTTGATTTGATTATTTAAACTGGTTAAAACATAATGTGATAGTACAAAATGGCCACCCACTCAAACAAGAAGAATGTCAAATCGCATCCGTCTAATATACAGAGGGATGGAATAAATGATGAGCAAGTGAAAATGGGTCAACAGAACAAATGATGAAGAGGGTGTAAATTGAGCAGGACAAGAACTGCGGAACCCTCGAACTCGCAAGGGTAAAACAGTTATTATGTTACAAACATGTGATCTTGTTAAAAAAATTCCTCACACAAATCTAGAATTCCAACATATATGAATGAATTTTACTTATTGGAGCTGACCGCCTGTATTTTGAATTTGTTGTTGCAGCAACTCCGGCTCCTCTAAATCCTCGCCTTGAATTTGTATATCCTGGTAAAAGGGTAAACCAAATCACTACAAAATCTTCATGAACATTGAGAACGAGAAATAATGTTAATAAATTTTGGAGTATATAGTTCTTCATAAGAGTAATACCCAAGTAGAAATTTCCAGATCCTCAGATTACTAATTCATTTTTAATAAAACTGATGAATAAAAAATCTAAATCAGAAAGTAGATACCTGTGCGTGCATTAATGGATGTGGTTGTTGATCTTGTGCCACGGCATAGGCTTGCGGTTGAGACATTCGGTAATAGGGTTCCTTGAGGTCAAGTTTGCATGACGATGTTTGTAGTATTCCTCCTTGTTCGGCACCAGGACCCCACATTTTAGCTAATTAAGTTGTGATCGATAACTGGTTAGAAAACCAAGAAAACAAATCACCAACATCAACACAAGAGAGGATAAGTAGCAACCTGACAATGTTAGATATATGGTATAACTCTGAGAACTGTGCGCAATCATGCGGAGTTGGCCGGTAATTTCTTGTCCCGCCATGACATACAGTGGCTGAGAGAGAACACAACGTAATTGGTACCAGTGGGTAGTAGGAGCACCCGGAGCAGTAGTAAGCCACCTTTGCACCGTACTGTTGAGCAAAGCAGTTAAAACAAAAACCCACAAGATGAGGACACGACCCCTTTGATGCAAATAGACTGACCGAAATTCAATGTATTACCTCCCATCAAATAGTACATCAAACCAACAAGCCAAACCATGCACTCTGGTGCCTACGGAGGCTATGAATCTCAATGGAATATCAATTTCATATAAGTCCTCTTCCTGCAAACAGTAATACAGAAAAAGCTGTAATGACTTGACCAACAAGCATCAAAAGCCGTGAACTATATTCTGAAGAATAAAATTTGAAATCAAACAAAAATTTGAAGATGATAGCAACGGCACATGAAAAGTTTTTGGAAGATATTTAGATAATATCATAAATCAGTATGCCCAACAAAGAATATGGAGCATCTAAGAAGACAGAATGAGAGATGTTTGGTTGAAAATAAATTTCACGACAATAACTAATCAGAAGGGCCATCCCACCAGAAACTGCATAGCCATAAGCATCCACAAATCCCTGATTGAATTAAAAGGTTTGAACAATACCTTTGTTTTAGTAAAATCTATCGTGTGAGATATGGCAGGAGCCACCAGTAACCTCGGATCAAAAGCATCCACCACGGGCTTTATGAAATGTCAAGATGGACACCATCAGTTAATTTAATAAAATAATTCAACGGTAATTTAAGTAATCAAAACAATTAATGGAATATTAAAGCATCTCAACAGCCAATTAATGCAATGCAAACCTATATATCTCAACAACCAGGTCATTAGTAACCACTATCAGCTTTCAAACTTCTCTTTCGTTCAACGAATTTGAAGAATTGTGAAAGCATTATTGGAGGGAACTTGCAATGTGGATATTGGTTATGCATTCAACCTATTTAACATCGCTTGTTCAATCAGGGTAAAGGTCAATATGGGTGGGTGGTATAAAAAGATTATTTTGACTTCCCAAGATAAATATATATATATATACATATATATATATATCTAAATAGAGATTAAATATGACATAGAAACATTCACATAACAGTCTTTTTGGAAATAAGAAAAGAAAAGACCTGAGAAAAGTAACCCTGGAATGCACATCCATATAATGGTGTCAGATCAACCCCAAAATAGTTTTGTTGCTGCCAAAAGAGAGCCTGTAAAGAAGATTAAAGAAAGATAAACGATAAAAAGTAAGTTATCAATTTAAAAGAATGACTATGATAAATGGAAAATATTAACACTCAAAACATCAACACACACGAATAATTTGAAACATATGCATACCTTATTTGCAATTTCAACGAATAAATATTCATCACTGAAGGGAGCCATATGAATCCTACAAGAGAATTTAATTTTGAATCACCAAATCAGAAAAAGTAACAGAGATTAAACAATTGCTAATGCCCAATACTATGAACATGAGAAAATGTGAATATGAGGAACTATGTTTAAAACCGAGAGAGCCACTAGGATGTAAGCATCAACAAACATCCGGTATATAACAAGTAAACAATCAGCGAAAGAGAACTCAGTAGAATCTGACACAAAAGCTGCACTAAAATCATCTCAAAAAAGATTTGCAATCACAAGAGCAACTGAATCACCAGACTACAAAAGTCTCTTAGCATTAGTAGGGAACAAAGCAACTTGTGGCAGGATCATTACCACTATGATCAACTCATCAAAAAATAAGTGCAAAGACATTCAAGAATTAACAAAAAAAGGGAAAATTTACCTTCCAACAGTAGGAAACATTTTCCCATTTGGGACAAGAAAACGATCTCTTGCAATCACATAGGATTCCAACATTCTTTCATTGACTAATAAGGTGCCTACAAACCATGCTCAAAAGTAAGTAGAGATAATTTAAAAAAAAAAAAAAAAAAAATTCAAAAAATTGGTTCAATATTCATTAAGCAACACAACTTTATATGTTGACTCCCAGCATTTTCAAAATGCTCAATAGTTTCAGACTGAACAAAATCCACCCCCGCCAAATATAATTGCATAAAGAAGTTTTACAATCCACGAGGATAATAAAATGAATCATGACTTATATACTTACCCATTGGTTCCGAGATCAGAATATCTGCTTTCTCAGGCAGTTCAACTTCCTCAACTTTACCCTTGATTACCTATATTATAGGAGACATACTTTCCTCAATAAAAGAAGATAACATACCAACTAGAGAACAGGCAAAAAGTTTAGTGGTATTAGAAAATCTCACAGTTATTCTCTGTCCCAATGATGGGTTCTCAGCAATAAGTTTGCGAGCATATTCAGCCATTTCAGATGCTTCAACAGCGTAAACATGTTTTGCACCAGCCTAGTTGGGGAAAGAAACATAATACAAGATCAATCTAGAGAGCACTGAGAAACCACACACAAGAAGCCAAAATAAAAAAAAAATAAAAAAATCATAGCAAGGCATAATTAAGCTTTACCACTCAAAAGCTAAGCATACCTGCGCAGCAAATAATGACAAGATACCGCTACCAGCACCAACATCAACAACTACACGACCAGTAAAATCTGCACGATTTTCAATAACTGCAGCATAATAGGTTCCTGAAAAAGAAGTACTCATACATCATTGGCATATCAAGGTAACCTTATCATTGTAAAATATAATTCTCTTGACACTTCTAGAACATAAAATCTACTCGTATTGTTATAATATATATCGGTGCTACAATACAACATGAGAAAATTAATCATGCTTCTCATAACAAATCCAAATTATATATGTATGACAAGGTGGAACTATTTTTCAGGTCTGTCATATAACCTGTCCTCACATAATCCTGTAACATATTCTGCTGGTGTAGTAGTTGTCCATAATAATGGAAGTACATCTTAGCAGAATATGGCTCTACTTTATCATCAAACTTGCTCTTCTTAGAATCTGAAACAACTCCATTTGCTAAATCTGTTCCTGGGGAGGAAAACAATAAAATAAAGATGTAACAACCAGTATAAAATACAGCACAAAAATAAAGGAAGAAGTAAAACTATAGAAGGAGAAAACCAACAGAAGTGTAGTAAAATGCGTGTACAAAACCATATTCACAATCCTTTTCGTAAAGGTAATATTTGAACCTAAAATTCTCAACCTCGTCCAGCACCCTTTTCCTTTTTTAAGGAAAAACTTAGGAGCAACATTTTTACTTTAAGACTGGCAGATCAACTTCTAATTACCTTCCAGAAAGCATATCCCTTCAGATACTTTTTGATAAGAGATTAAATAGATGCTCAATCAGTTTACGCCAAAGATATTAAACACTATTTTCCCATATTTATGCATACTTTTTTACAAATGAATCCTCACAAATCTTAAAACAATTAAAAGTGTGAGAAAGAAGCAATGTCTCTTTAATAGCACAGGGTAAATGTTAAAGCGTACAATCTTTGAATTAAGGGATGACACGATGCATATGTATATATATTTATAACCACACACAAAACACAGATCAGTAGCATGCTACATGGAACTTTAGCCAAATTAACAATAAATGAAAATGATGAACAAGTTACAAACAGAAAAATAAAATAAAGAAACATGATAAGGTTAGTTGAACATTTAAGTTGAAATGAGATAGCATTGATCTTTTCAACATAAGTTATAAGGAAATTTCCAAAGTAGCACCTTGAACAACTTCCTTATTCCATTGGTCAAATGCACAATGGAAGGCGCTGCTCTCTTCCTCGTCTCTAAATTGGATAGTGATTCCCCTTGAATATGATTTCTGGTTCAATAGTTATACTGTTAATAAAATGTAACATCTGGTACCGCTTTAATATCATATAACCATATTGTATATGTCAGAATCAACCGTTAAGCAAATCATCAAAGTGACCATTTGGCAAAATGACACCACCAAAATTTGCCACCATAAATCTTAAAGGGAGACAAAATTTAACCATATACCTAGCGAATCCCAAATTAAGTAATACTAAAAATCTGAAAAATGAGACAAAAAAGACCCAGTAACCGTAAGGCATCAAAGATAAATTAAGCTGTCCCGTCTCCATACATTAGGTTAAAAACAACACAATTTTAAGATTAAAATACTATCCACGCTACTTATAGAAGAAAAAAAAAATTAAAAAAAAAAAGTTTAACGTACCTCTTTTTTGTCATTTGAACCTTCAGATATGCAAACTGATTGAACAGGTCCTAACTTGAATAACTGAATAACACAAGAGCACACCAAATCACGTTATTGTAATCTTTAAATTATTGCTTGCTATTATATCCGGTATATAACAAGAAACAATCAGCGAAAGAGAACTCAGTAGAATCTGACAAAAAGTGCACTAAAATCATCCAAAAAAGATTTGAATCACAAGAGCAACTGAATCACAGACTACAAAAGTCTCTTAGCATTAGTAGGGAACAAAGCAACTTGTGGCAGGATCATTACCACTATGATCAACTCATCAAAAAATAAGTGCAAAGCATTCAAGAATTAACAAAAAAGGGAAAATTTACCTTCCAACAGTAGGAAACATTTTCCCATTGGGACAGAAAAACGATCTCATCAACCAACTGGATTTGATTTGATTATTTAAACTGGTTAAAACATAATGTGATAGTACAAAATGGCCACCCACTCAAACAAGAAGAATGTCAAATCGCATCCGTCTAATATACAGAGGGATGGAATAAATGATGAGCAAGTAAAAATGGGTCAACAGAACAAATGATGAAGAGGGTGTAAATTGAGCAGGACAAGAACTGCGGAACCCTCGAACTCGCAAGGGTAAAACAGTTTTTATGTTACAAACATGTGATCTTGTTAAAAAAATTCCTCACACAAATCTAGAATTCCAACATATATGAATGAATTTTACTTACTGGAGCTGACCGCCTGTATTTTGAATTTGTTGTTGCAGCAACTCCGGCTCCTCTAAATCCTCGCCTTGAATTTGTATATCCTGGTAAAAGGGTAAACCAAATCACTACAAAATCTTCATGAACATTGAGAACGAGAAATAATGTTAATAAATTTTGGAGTATATAGTTCTTCATAAGAGTAATACCCAAGTAGAAATTTCCAGATCCTCAGATTACTAATTCATTTTTAATAAAACTGATGAATAAAAAATCTAAATCAGAAAGTAGATACCTGTGCGTGCATTAATGGATGTGGTTGTTGATCTTGTGCCACGGCATAGGCTTGCGGTTGAGACATTCGGTAATAGGGTTCCTTGAGGTCAAGTTTGCATGACGATGTTTGTAGTATTCCTCCTTGTTCGGCACCAGGACCCCACATTTTAGCTAATTAAGTTGTGATCGATAACTGGTTAGAAAACCAAGAAAACAAATCACCAACATCAACACAAGAGAGGATAAGTAGCAACCTGACAATGTTAGATATATGGTATAACTCTGAGAACTGTGCGCAATCATGCGGAGTTGGCCGGTAATTTCTTGTCCCGCCATGACATACAGTGGCTGAGAGAGAACACAACGTAATTGGTACCAGTGGGTAGTAGGAGCACCCGGAGCAGTAGTAAGCCACCTTTGCACCGTACTGTTGAGCAAAGCAGTTAAAACAAAAACCCACAAGATGAGGACACGACCCCTTTGATGCAAATAGACTGACCGAAATTCAATGTATTACCTCCCATCAAATAGTACATCAAACCAACAAGCCAAACCATGCACTCTGGTGCCTACGGAGGCTATGAATCTCAATGGAATATCAATTTCATATAAGTCCTCTTCCTGCAAACAGTAATACAGAAAAAGCTGTAATGACTTGACCAACAAGCATCAAAAGCCGTGAACTATATTCTGAAGAATAAAATTTGAAATCAAACAAAAATTTGAAGATGATAGCAACGGCACATGAAAAGTTTTTGGAAGATATTTAGATAATATCATAAATCAGTATGCCCAACAAAGAATATGGAGCATCTAAGAAGACAGAATGAGAGATGTTTGGTTGAAAATAAATTTCACGACAATAACTAATCAGAAGGGCCATCCCACCAGAAACTGCATAGCCATAAGCATCCACAAATCCCTGATTGAATTAAAAGGTTTGAACAATACCTTTGTTTTAGTAAAATCTATCGTGTGAGATATGGCAGGAGCCACCAGTAACCTCGGATCAAAAGCATCCACCACGGGCTTTATGAAATGTCAAGATGGACACCATCAGTTAATTTAATAAAATAATTCAACGGTAATTTAAGTAATCAAAACAATTAATGGAATATTAAAGCATCTCAACAGCCAATTAATGCAATGCAAACCTATATATCTCAACAACCAGGTCATTAGTAACCACTATCAGCTTTCAAACTTCTCTTTCGTTCAACGAATTTGAAGAATTGTGAAAGCATTATTGGAGGGAACTTGCAATGTGGATATTGGTTATGCATTCAACCTATTTAACATCGCTTGTTCAATCAGGGTAAAGGTCAATATGGGTGGGTGGTATAAAAAGATTATTTTGACTTCCCAAGATAAATATATATATATATACATATATATATATATCTAAATAGAGATTAAATATGACATAGAAACATTCACATAACAGTCTTTTTGGAAATAAGAAAAGAAAAGACCTGAGAAAAGTAACCCTGGAATGCACATCCATATAATGGTGTCAGATCAACCCCAAAATAGTTTTGTTGCTGCCAAAAGAGAGCCTGTAAAGAAGATTAAAGAAAGATAAACGATAAAAAGTAAGTTATCAATTTAAAAGAATGACTATGATAAATGGAAAATATTAACACTCAAAACATCAACACACACGAATAATTTGAAACATATGCATACCTTATTTGCAATTTCAACGAATAAATATTCATCACTGAAGGGAGCCATATGAATCCTACAAGAGAATTTAATTTTGAATCACCAAATCAGAAAAAGTAACAGAGATTAAACAATTGCTAATGCCCAATACTATGAACATGAGAAAATGTGAATATGAGGAACTATGTTTAAAACCGAGAGAGCCACTAGGATGTAAGCATCAACAAACATCCGGTATATAACAAGTAAACAATCAGCGAAAGAGAACTCAGTAGAATCTGACACAAAAGCTGCACTAAAATCATCTCAAAAAAGATTTGCAATCACAAGAGCAACTGAATCACCAGACTACAAAAGTCTCTTAGCATTAGTAGGGAACAAAGCAACTTGTGGCAGGATCATTACCACTATGATCAACTCATCAAAAAATAAGTGCAAAGACATTCAAGAATTAACAAAAAAAGGGAAAATTTACCTTCCAACAGTAGGAAACATTTTCCCATTTGGGACAAGAAAACGATCTCTTGCAATCACATAGGATTCCAACATTCTTTCATTGACTAATAAGGTGCCTACAAACCATGCTCAAAAGTAAGTAGAGATAATTTAAAAAAAAAAAAAAAAAAAATTCAAAAAATTGGTTCAATATTCATTAAGCAACACAACTTTATATGTTGACTCCCAGCATTTTCAAAATGCTCAATAGTTTCAGACTGAACAAAATCCACCCCCGCCAAATATAATTGCATAAAGAAGTTTTACAATCCACTAGGATAATAAAATGAATCATGACTTATATACTTACCCATTGGTTCCGAGATCAGAATATCTGCTTTCTCAGGCAGTTCAACTTCCTCAACTTTACCCTTGATTACCTATATTATAGGAGACATACTTTCCTCAATAAAAGAAGATAACATACCAACTAGAGAACAGGCAAAAAGTTTAGTGGTATGAGAAAATCTCACAGTTATTCTCTGTCCCAATGATGGGTTCTCAGCAATAAGTTTGCGAGCATATTCAGCCATTTCAGATGCTTCAACAGCATAAACATGTTTTGCACCAGCCTAGTTGGGGAAAGAAACATAATACAAGATCAATCTAGAGAGCATTGAGAAACCACACACAAGAAGCCAAAATAAAAAAAAAATAAAAAAATCATAGCAAGGCATAATTAAGCTTTACCACTCAAAAGCTAAGCATACCTGCGCAGCAAATAATGACAAGATACCGCTACCAGCACCAACATCAACAACTACACGACCAGTAAAATCTGCACGATTTTCAATAACTGCAGCATAATAGGTTCCTGAAAAAGAAGTACTCATACATCATTGGCATATCAAGGTAACCTTATCATTGTAAAATATAATTCTCTTGACACTTCTAGAACATAAAATCTACTCGTATTGTTATAATATATATCGGTGCTACAATACAACATGAGAAAATTAATCATGCTTCTCATAACAAATCCAAATTATATATGTATGACAAGGTGGAACTATTTTTCAGGTCTGTCATATAACCTGTCCTCACATAATCCTGTAACATATTCTGCTGGTGTAGTAGTTGTCCATAATAATGGAAGTACATCTTAGCAGAATATGGCTCTACTTTATCATCAAACTTGCTCTTCTTAGAATCTGAAACAACTCCATTTGCTAAATCTGTTCCTGGAGAGGAAAACAATAAAATAAAGATGTAACAACCAGTATAAAATACAGCACAAAAATAAAGGAAGAAGTAAAACTATAGAAGGAGAAAACCAACAGAAGTGTAGTAAAATGCGTGTACAAAACCATATTCACAATCCTTTTCGTAAAGGTAATATTTGAACCTAAAATTCTCAACCTCGTCCAGCACCCTTTTCCTTTTTTAAGGAAAAACTTAGGAGCAACATTTTTACTTTAAGACTGGCAGATCAACTTCTAATTACCTTACAGAGAGCATATTCCTTCAGATACTTTTTGATAAGAGATTAAATAGATGCTCAATCAGTTTACGCCAAAGATATTAAACACTATTTTCCCATATTTATGCATACTTTTTTACAAATGAATCCTCACAAATCTTAAAACAATTAAAAGTGTGAGAAAGAAGCAATGTCTCTTTAATAGCACAGGGTAAATGTTAACGCGTAAAATCTTTGAATTAAGAGATGACACGATGCATATGTATATATATTTATAACCACACACAAAACACAGATCAGTAGCATGCTACATGGAACTTTAGCCAAATTAACAATAAATGAAAATGATGAACAAGTTACAAACAGAAAAATAAAATAAAGAAACATGATAAGGTTAGTTGAACATTTAAGTTGAAATGAGATAGCATTGATCTTTTCAACATAAGTTATAAGGAAATTTCCAAAGTAGCACCTTGAACAACTTCCTTATTCCATTGGTCAAATGCACAATGGAAGGCGCTGCTCTCTTCCTCGTCTCTAAATTGGATAGTGATTCCCCTTGAATATGATTTCTGGTTCAATAGTTATACTGTTAATAAAATGTAACATCTGGTACCGCTTTAATATCATATAACCATATTGTATATGTCAGAATCAACCGTTAATCAAATCATCAAAGTGACCATTTGGCAAAATGACACCACCAAAATTTGCCACCATAAATCTTAGAGGGAGACAAAATTTAACCATATACCTAGCGAATCCCAAATTAAGTAATACTAAAAATCTGAAAAATGAGATAAAAAAGACCTAGTAACCGTAAGGCATCAAAGATAAATTAAGCTGTCCCGTCTCCATACATTAGGTTAAAAACAACACAATTTTAAGATTAAAATACCATCCACGCTACTTATAGAAGAAAAAAAAATTAAAAAAAAAAGTTTAACGTACCTCTTTTTTGTCATTTGAACCTTCAGATATGCAAACTGATTGAACAGGTCCTAACTTGAATAACTGAATAACACAAGAGCACACCAAATCACGTTATTGTAATCTTTAAATTATTGCTTGCTATTATAATTTTCAAACTAGAGTTGGGAAAATCTATTCTCTGTTTCACTCAATGAGAAACTTAAGAATCCATAAAGAAATCAACATTTTCAATCCTGAAACTGAAAAATGACAGGCCTCCTATTCTAAGCCAATTCTGTTAAGTGGAAGCCTGAACTGTTTCAAATCATTGATATAAACTGAAAAAAAAAAAAAAAAACGATTGAAACATGCTACTAAAATGTACGAAAGCTAGATATTCTCTAGTTCCGTATTTCTTCACGAGGAATTAATTAAAAAAAAAAAATCTCACAAACTTGAGATGTTATAAATTGTAAAATGCACTTCCCTGCCTGCGTTTGGTTGCCAGAAAAATTGTAAAAGAAAAATCAAACCAGCTAGAGCTTCTTTATTTTTCTTCATTACCTTTAAACACACAACGCAATCAATAAACTAACTCCTGAACCATAACACATAACACTCACCTGAGCGGCCCTAAGATCGACACGAAAACCATCAATGGACTCCGATTCTCGGTGGAATTGAAGTTCCGCGGTTCCAGAGGTGCCGACGCCGAAGCGCGCAAAAACCGGCGATGATTCTGGCACTGGAGAAGACAGAGACGAAGAGAGCTCCGCCACTGAAGCCAGAGGAAACTCCTGTTCTTGCTTATACTTTTGTTCCATTTTCGCCGTCACCTCCACCGCTCAATTTAAAAAAAAAAAAAATAGTTTCCATTTATATAACAAAAAAAAATTTCCCAGAGTATTTATAGGTTTGTGTTTTGGCGTGTATTTGGAGTGCGTGTTAGGGTTTTATGCGGAGATAGCTCGAGAGTTAAATGAATAAATTTGCCTTATAACTTATAAGAGCCGCCAAAGAAGGAGCATAATGACACTTGCTTTGGTGCTTTTATAGCGTAATGAATAGCGTACTGTGTTCTGCTGTAGTGCTGTTCAGAGTGGTGTATTCCACTCACACAGAGGTTTTATGCTTCTGGTTTTTAAATCAATTTCAGCCGTACATTTGTTGAATCAACCTGGATCCCTTGCAAGATATTTGTCAATAAGTGTTTATAATTGCCGACGTTTTTTTACTATGTTATCGATAAGATAAAATTTAAAAAAGGGACAAAAAAATGTACTTTTAATTAATTTAAAAATCAGTTCATAAAAGTCAAGAGTAAGAATCCAGTGAAGTGTGGAACAGTCAATGAAAAGAGATGAAGAGAGGCTATAAAAAGGATAATTTCTTTATTTGTTAGATGAAAAATGATTTTACTTGATTGAATTGGAAAATCCTTTTGAGATTGCTTTAAATAGCAAGTGGTGGCATCAAATTTTAGAGCTAGTTGTGGGAATATTTATATGCATGTATGTTGTTAGTGTTACATTCCTTCCTCTTTGGTATTCATTCAAACAAAAGGCGAAAAAGCTGAATCCTTTTAAGGTCAATTGTAGCTTAGCCCGCAACGCAAGAATATGATGAGAGTAAGTTCGAGATTGCGTTTAGTTTATTATTTTAATACTTTTTAAAATAATATTTTGAAAAAAATAAAATTGGATGATTATTACAGAGTCAATTTTTAAATACCATCATAGGTTTGTTAATTTACTAAACATTTACGTAATAAAATATTAAAAATTAAAAAAAACACCCCTATTCACCCATTAAATACCGGTAACTGGCCGCCACCATCAGAAAGTGGCCGGAGTCATCGTATCGCTGCACGATCGACTAGATCTAACCGATTGTGAACCGATATGGCTTTTTTCGACCAAATCCAGCATAGATCTGGCCGAAAAAGGGTCAGATCTGGCTACGTTTGGTCGTTAACGATGATCATATCTTGGCTGCTGTTGACGACTGGCTACGACTAAAGATCTAGCATTTTTTAGCTTATGGATCTGGCCGATATAACATTTTTCGGCCAGATCCATGGGCTCAAAAATGCTAGATCTTTGGTCGTAGTCAGTCGTCAATAACAGATACCAACCCATATTTGCTAGATTGGTATAATGGTGCCAACCAGATACAGTTAGTAGTGTGCCATTATACAAATCTAGCAAATGTGGGTTGGTTGTGTGTTTTTGTCAATTTCTTAAAAAAAAAAAAATTTGGGTGTTTAGTTAAATTAATAAACCTAAGGGGCTTAACAAAAATTAAATAGAATATAATAATATTTTTGGAATACGAAAACAAATATATATTTTGGATGGGATAGGGAATAGGATAGTGGTAAAATTACGAAACAAATGCAGCCTGACAGTTCTTGATAACAATTTGGATTCTAGAAAAATCAAATAGCATGGACTGTCAAATGAAAGTGAAAGTGAGGGTGAAAGACACATGGGCTCTTGTACCAGCTTTGACATGGTTTGGACTCTTTGGAACACTAAAAATTCTGGCCCACGTTGTAGCAATAAAACACTTTCTTATATCTAGAGAATTAATTTGGTTGGAAATCTTGATCTGTAAGCTTGTGCTCTAAAAATTTTCTTTCTGAAGATTAGAAGAGCTTGCACATTTAATTTATGTGATTTAAAGCTGTCAATGGACTCTTTTTTCTAGGGTTTGTTTCTTATATGTGGATACATTCATTCTTCTTTAAATCATAGTTATTTGTTTCCCGCCTTCAGCTTTTCTCTCTGATTTCATATCATTCTCTTTGCTATTTTGATCAACATTGTTGTGTTAATCATGAATCGTGATAGCTCATCCCTAAAAGAAAAGCATCAAGCAATGCTTGCCAAAAAAAGATCCAGACTTCACCAGGACTCTTCTGAAGCTGAAATCGAGTCTTCTTCTTTTTCGTCTGACCAAGAAGAATCATTGTCTGACTCTCAAAATGTGGCATCTTCGTCGTCTGAAGAGACTCCATTAAAAGAAGCTCACATCTTTCAAGTCTCCCAAGCCCAAAGCTTCCAATTCAAAGTCACATGAACTAAAGAAGAAATAAAAAGCAGGTGAAAATTCTTTGGCTGGTAAAAAACAGCTATCCTTTGTCTCCTCTAAAGCTTTTTCTCACTTTAAGAAGCATGTTGTTTCGAGGCCATTAATTTGTGAAGCTCTTGTTAAATTTGAGGATTTCCCTGAGATATTGTCTCTGTTGTCAAAAAGAGGATGGGTAAAGTCTGTTGAAGGTTTTGTGCCTCCATCAGGAACTCTTACTCGAGTTTTATGCTAATTTCAACAAGGAAATAGATAAACCTGGACCTCATTGCAACCAGGTCTTTATTAGAGGAAAATGGGTCAATTTCGATGTTGATGTTGTTAGAAATCTGCTTGAGTTGCCTGTTGTTGATGATATTGATGATTTACAAGAATCAAATCTTAATTATGTGGCATTTACCATGTCAGGAGGATCTGTGAGTAAATGGCCTGAATGTGGTTTTCTTCAACCAAATGTGTTAACACCCTTCTATAAAGTGTTGTTTAAACTAGCATTGTCTAACTGGTCACCCTCCTTCCACAATTCTTCAGTTAGGATAGCAAAGGCTCTTTTGATCTTTGGTATAGGTACAGGCAAGAAAATTGATCTTGCTTCTTTAATTTACAATCACATCAAAGAAGCTGCTGAGTCAAAAAGTAAGTCGCAAGCCTTGCCTTTCCCATGCCTGATTCATAAGATCATTGCACCTTATAAGCCAAAGAGGTTTGCAAATGAGACAATCTTGAAGATAAAGTTAAATTTCTCAAACCTCTTTTAGATCACAGGTTGCTCCTCCCACGCCAAAGGCTGTTCGATCACATTCTCTCTTCAAAAGAAACAACTCGGTTTTTACAAATGAAATGCTTACTATTCTTTCAGCTGCTTCCAAATGAATTTGATTCTTTGAATGACCTCATGCTGTCTGACATATTCCTATTCTCAATGGTTGTTAATTAGCAACAATTTAATCTAAACATAGTTAAGGTGCACGCAAACTGACCCGAACACCCCGGTTACCCCAAAAAAAAAAAAAAGTTGGGATTTTGAAAAGGATGGAATGGTACTGCTCTAACTGTCTTAACATATTAAAACCCTTCATAATCATTCTCTTATTACAGGCAAAAAGGATAAAGCAGATTACAAGAAAGTGGAAAACTGAAACCTAAAACCCCAGCCGTTAATAAAGGTCCTCCAGTTCCTTTGAGCATACAAAAGATACAACAGTCCATCAAACAACACTGCATTTTGATCTATAATATGTGATAACATCAAGATATCAATTACATAAGAGAAACTATAACAATTTCTATTAAAAACCAGTCCCAATAATCGCAAATGCTATACATCAAACAAGACAAATAAGAAGATACAAGGGAGGCTACAGTTTGATTCAAAAATCAATATAATTAAAAAAATAAAATAAAATAGGGTATTACAACATTCAGATCCTCTACTTGAAGAAATAAATAATCAACAATGACGTGCAAACTGGCATGTATCATTATCATGATTTAAATTAACAAAGAACAAAAAGTACAGCAGTAAGTGCATGGTTCATTACTATATCAAGTTCAAAAGCTAATGAGATCTCCACATCAACTACAAGGATGCTGATACCTTAACAGCTTTAAAAGCCGGGTGAAGCAATCCGAGCTCATCCTTCACTTCAAGAGGAGTACTTGTCTCATTCCTTACTCTCTTCACTTTCTTACTTCCAAGCGATCTGTGAGTAAAACCATACATGTTCAAAATCTGATTATCTCCGAAATTGAAAGCGCGATCCATTTGTCTCAAGCACCTCTCCACTGGATAATCCCCAAACTTGCCACAAGGTTTGCACCCCACAAAGTGAGTCACAAGCGGCCATCTATGATCACCAAGACCCGGATGATAATTCTCAATCATCTCCTCATAACGATCCACCAAAATACCCCAGTAACCGTGCAAATAATAATGATTTTCTAAATAAACCTTTTCACCCCATTTATCTCTTTGCGTAACAAGCAAATAAACCATAGCTGACTGATCGTCAGCTTCAAAAACAGGTCTCCCTTTAAGCTCTCTAGTGAGTATCTTTCCAGCTTCATCTCTAATCTTCCCCTTGGGTCCCATTGGAGCCCACGCATCAAGAAGATCCAATGCCCATTGACCATTTCTCAACAAGAAACTACCCGTATTCAAACCAATCCAATTCTTTTCATCATAAATCATCTCATTCCATCCATGCATTACAAGATTATGATCTTTATATCTCTCCCAAGGAATTTCAAAAGCCATGTCAGTGAACATGGCATCACTATCCATCCACCATAAGAACTCAATCTCTGGATGAGACAATAACATTTTTCTAATCAATGGCAGCTTCGCCCAGAAACCCGCCATCTCTGCATCAAGAAGCGCCATGTTGTAAAATATCTCGATCCCGTGTACTCTACAGTAATCGATCTTGTTCTTTATCGATTTCAGTAAGTAATGATCGCCGACCGGGTTCTCACACGGTTTGGGAGCTGAACCGGTCACGAGCAAGACACGAGGTTTGTTTGGTCCGAGAAAGTTCGGGAAATTCGGATTATTTTTTAACCACTCCGCTCTCTGCTGGTCCCAATCCGAAATTTTAGGGCCTAGAGAGTAGGGCTTGTTCGGATCCGGTTTTTCTTGAACACCTTCGTCAACAAACAGCTTAGACACGTCGAACTGTTCGTAATTGTTAGTGTTCTTGTTCGAATCTTCGTTTGAGGTGTCGCCATTGGTGGAGGTGGTCGTCTGAACTTCTTCAAGGACGCGGTGAGGCTCCACGCGCTTGCGGTGAGCGTAAAAGTGTTCGCGGATGTCGTTGAAATCTTGCTCGGGAGTCCCAAATTTCCCGGCGCCGATTGTACCACGTAAAACGACGACTGTCAAGAAGAGGCAGAGGAAGGTGACTTTACTTTGGTGAAT